TAACATACAGACAAAATGAAACTGATCTGCGTGTGTGTCCTCCTTTAGATGTTCCCTTTGTGGATTTGCACTGATAAGCACAGTGCATGTTCAGAGTTGGGGAGAGTTGCTCTGGTATCTTTTTGTTGGATACTCTTTCATGGTAAACTTCTTGTTGTAGGACTTCAGGTGACAGTGTGTAAAACACACAGCATAACATACATCCTTAACACATCCCCCCCCGGTTCCAGCCCTTTAACCTTTACACTCTGTTGTTGCTGCTTCAAATTACTTCAGATTATCCGTTAATTTGAAGGCAGCAGGCCCAACACATTGTGTCAACATGAAACAACAGAGAGGCTGTATAGGTGTTGATGGAGAATAAATCTAAGCCTCAGCTTAATCTCTAGCTCCGGAGAGGCACTCACATGAGAGAGAGAGACATGGGTGGAAGTGGAGATTACTCAAAGAGATAGAGTGAGGCTGGTTAAAGAGGATCAGTTTATCTTCACACAGGCCTACACGACTCCCTGAGGGCTGCGAGGGACTGACTTTATCATCCTTTTGATCATACACTGGCTAATTAGGCTGAGATGCCTTGTTAGACATGCAAATTACAAGTATTTTTAGTCGTAAACTAGACACCTGTTTGTTTATTTTTAGATGACCGTGGTTTTAACCGTGGTTTACTTGTTTTGCTTCAGTTTATTCTTAATGTATTCATTCATTGGGTCGTACATTCAGAGCTTTAACTGCTTTGGTGACACGGTGATCTCCACTGAGGGTTCGTCTATAATAAGATGACCATGTTTTTTCATATGAATCTGCTGCCCCCCGTAGACAGTCCATGATACTACAACAGACTTACTTCAGATCTGGTAATTGCGCCCCAGCTCAGTTGTGCATGACTTTTCCTCTGATCACTCTGTGTGCAGGTTTTGCGAATCCGGCGTTTTCTGCCATCTTAATTGCTGCTGCTGCAGCTGTGACTCTGCCAATATCTCAAAGCCAGGATGCCCTGCAGGAACACAAAAAAAACATTGTTTACTCTAAAGAGAAGAATCCAATTAGCAGATATAAAGCGTGGCTAGGCTGGAGGATCGCCTTTGGCAGAATGTAATTAGGACAGAGTCTACTGAGGCTGCATAGTATCATATCTGCATCCCTTTTATTGGCAGCTCTCTCTGATTTTATTCTCCTCCCCTGTTGTGAAGGATTTAGGTTGTCTTTAACCAATATCCAAACTGTTTTTATCTATCAGTCTGCAGCCAAACTCACACACATCCCAGATGGAGACAGCCATGGATTAGTGAAGCTTTTCCTTCATTTAATGAACAATTGAATGACATAGTTCTGAGGATAAACCTGCTCAAAGAAGCGCATGAATAGTCTGGAGTGAGGAGACTATGAGGGCATTATCCTACTTCATCTTCTCATATCATTCAGAATCACCGAGCGCCACATTCACGTGACAAACGGGCATATAGTCTCATCAACCTACAGAGAACCTGATCCTCTCTGATTTTGTCTCACGTACTCAATCATCATGCAAGGCCTGCACAGCACAACACAAGGAGACGTTTTCAGGCATCCCCCATGTAGACACAATCCCAAACAGGGCCGTTTCCCCAGTGACGTTACATAATTGTTACAGCATGTACGCGTCACTTCATTGGTTGGCCGATAGCAAAGACAATAGCTGTTAGAATTTAAATTGTAGCACTAACAGGATTTGTGAATCAAAAACAGGCAGATACACTGGAACACAGCTGGAAGAGTGATGATGAGGATTTAGATATAAATCTTATATACATTTTTAAACAGATAGCTTTGCTGGAAAGGCTGCATATAAATTCATATTTAGAGGGAGGGGAATTGTTTTGCATTTATGTCTCCCAATACACATCACAGTGTCTGGCATCTACAACGTGTGAGGGATAAAAGGCCTGCTATTCACCATATTCACACAGCAGCCGTTGGTCTCTGTCACCACGATCAAGGTGGGACGCTCAAATACTGTTACATGACAGCTAAGTCACAACAGCTAATGTTAGCATCTTCCTGATTCTTAAGTAACACTATCATGTTACATGATAAATATCAGCAAGGAAGCAGTTAAATGCTAACATTAGGAGTTTTCAAATTAATTTTTTTTTTTTCCTCACAGTTGCTGATCATTCAGAAAGTAGTCAATGTAATTGCAATTTGTTAGGTAACCCTTTTCTTTTAATATGTACTATCCTTAAACACAGGGACATTATAACAGCATTTCAGCTTCAACTACTCCTCATTTCTTGTCCATGGGCGAAACTAATTCACGATCTTGCAAATACCTAGCTTAGTCAAAGTGTTTTCCACAGAGTAAGATTGTAAAAAAATAAAAAATAAAATAAGCATGAAACCATGTCGTTTCAGTTTGTAAATGCTTTGCAGTGTATTTATTGTCCACTGTGAACCCACATCAGACACATGTGGGGGCTAAGTGCTGTGCAGTTTGGTTAGTGGGAATACACATTTGACTGTGCTTTAAATATTTTCTAGTCAAGTCAAGGTGCATACTGTCACTGAAATTTCTATTTTTTATTTCTGTGCCATCCTTCAGAGCGCACATTTTGCTCAAATGATGGCTGTTGATTTTCCTCTGCACACAGGCTCAGCTGAGATTGCATGACATGAATGATTAAATGTAAAGCAAAGCGATCTGCTAATCATCATAGAGAAAGTCCAAGCTGTTTGTGTTCATGAGGATGGCAGTGACAGCAGCGTTGCTGGGTGAAGTAACCATGTGTGTCAGATCATATCCATGTCCAGCTGAGCTCTTTTGGCTCACGTGAGGTGAGAGGATTGCGTCCCGGATTGTTTAGGGATTACTCAACCGGACTTACCAGATCCAGAGATTCAGACATTAAGGGACAGGAACAACACAGTGGAGGGGGGGGGGTGTCATATGGTCCCAGGAGAAATAAGAAAAGCCCTGAGTGTCTGCAGCAAAAGTGCAAAATGTCAAAAACAAGTTTCTTTTTTGCCTTTTCCCGCATGCCTAAAATCTCTCACACACATACGCACACTTTCTCCTCTTCGTCAGTAAACCCCCCCGCAGCTCAGCCCCACCACCAGCAATCACCTAATTCTCCTGTTACTACACGCGCTCACGCTGCAAAAGAAGGAAGGCGTGCCGCGCTGAACAGATGTGGAGATTTCAGCTGCCGGTTTCGTGGATCATAACGCTCTCTCTCTGCATACTCTGTCCTTCAATTTGAGTGTATGAGGAATACTTTTCACTCTGGCCGTCCGAGGATTTAGTGGCAGGACTGCTTTTTTTTTTTTTTTTTCTTTGCATGAGTGTTTTTGAACTGAGATTCAAACTGGAGACCCAGGTGGAAAACGACTGCTTGGATCGGTTGATCAAGCTGCAGCTGTCCGGTTCGGGTGACTGGGCACCCTGTGAGTTTGAAATACTCTCCTTTGTTTTCTTTGATATCTCATCTTTCCTTCTCTTCCTTTTTGCTTGTGTTGTTGCCGTTTCCAGACAGTTGCTAACATTGACGTTTGTGAGCAAGATTCTGGGAGGAGCAACAATATCCTTAAACCACCACCCCACCCCCGATGATTCAATTTCTTATTTATTGTAATCCATGTACTTTAATCTCCTTGACATTTGCTGGAATATTCTTTTGTCTTTTGATTCAAAATATGTGCTTTTGCTGACATCAAGTTAAACATGTTTGTTAGGTATGTTGCAGCTTTACTAAGAAGGATTGACAATGAAGCTTTGTGCAAAGTTGACGTTACTCAGACGGACCACTTTAGTCTCTAAATAATCTAAAACTACCTCACATATTGTGTAAAATACACTTTTTTCAACATCAGTTGGATATCTACTATGTTTGGAACGCAGCAAAGTATGACAAAAAGACCTTCCCCTGCCTTTCTTTCATGCCTCATGTATCACCTTACATAGTATAAAGTCACCTGATGAGAATTATCAGGTACATATCATGACCCTTGAAAATCAGATATTCCCACTTTTGTGACCCTAAGAATTTCAGATTGAACGTTACAAGCACATGTTTTTAGTCATGTACTGTATGTATGTTTGAATTGAGTTTGTTCATGTTGAACATATAGAAGCCCAGTGGACCACACACATACAGGCACACATGTCAAGATGTCTAGGTGATCTCAGAGCATGCACAGTGCATGGTCCTGTGGTTGCTGGTGATTATTTTAGGGGGCATAACAGATCAGATCAGCTGATATTATGAAATCCAGAATCATGACAGATGTTTGCTGGGTTATTGTTTTCCCTCATGACTTGTAAAGTCAGCACAGTCGGCGTTCATGACCTTCATTTCATCAGGTTTAGAAATGTTTGATTTGATTCAGTCTTAAAAATGTCATACACATGACACACTTGTCCAATTACCACACAAAAACTAAAGACATTTTTTTATTGGATTCTTTGATAAATCAAGTGAAAGAAGGTCATATTTTTTTTTTTAAAGCAAAACTACAAATCATTCTAATGTTTCAACTACTTAACTCTCTCTTCCCTTCTTTATGTCTTTTGAACTAAAGATCTCTAGGCTTTGAACCGTTAGTCTTCTGGGGATGGAAAAGCAATATTGAATGACATAATATTTGCCTTTGGAAGTTTAACAAACCTTTATTTGGAGTATTTTCTAACCGTTTATTGACTTCCATCATATGATCAATTGTGAAAACTATGTCCAGATTAGTATTAGCACTTGACACAATCATAACATGACATTGGTTTAACCCAACATGGGACCTGGATGTACATAAAAAAAAAACAATAAAAGGAATTAAATAGAACTCTAAAAAACCACAGAAGACAACCACTGTCTGCTTAAATTAAAGCATGACACAAATTGAAGTAGTAGCAGTAACTATGATTCATGTCCAACCTGCCCAGAATCATGATGAAAAAAACTGCAGTGCCTCTGTTACATTACAGCTGTGGTTAACCCATTCCCTGCTGGTCTGTGCTGTTGTTTCAGGTGACACACACAAGGTGGAGATCCCCAGAGGAGAGATGGAGGTGGTGAAGGGCCAGATGGTGGTGTTACATGCCTGGTATAGCCCCAACTCAGACATTTCCAAAAACACTGTGGTTTGGCACTTCACAGGAAATGAATCGAAGCCGGTGAGAAGGTCGAAACATGAAATCTGTGATGATGGGGTTGTATGCTTGACCCTGCTCTGACCTCTAGTGTATATTGAGAGCATAAAGGGATTAAAGCAAAGCACATTGTGATTGCTGATCCTCGAACTACTGTCGTGACTGTAATAAATATTGGAGCTGGAACAATGTACGGGCAGCTACTGTAAGACAGGGTTAACTCTGTTTTTGTAAATGTGTTCAGAAGTTCCAACAGTTTGAGTATGTTTTTTTAAAAGGTATTTCTGTGTTCAGTTTCAGGTTTTAAGCTCGTCTCCAAATGTCATGTATTGTCAGTAATGTTTAACAAAACGTGACTTTTGGAAACACCACCAAACTGATATTTTTCACAGTTTCGACCTTTCTAGAGCAGAATTTCTGGGAAATAAAAAAGGAAAACATATTGAAGTTATCTTTTATACACAGTATGGATTGAAAATAATTCTGGGAAATCGTATTTATAAACCAGATAAGTAACGTACATGCAAGGCCTGCCTGTCCTCTGAATATATGCAAGATTAAGTAAGCATTTTTTTTTGTATTGCATGACATGTAATATCTCTAGAAACTCATCTATGCACGTGTAAGGTAAAAAAAAAAAAAAAAAAAAGATGATCTGTAGAGATTAGGATTATTCCAACACCACTGATGATGATGTCTAATTCATAGCGGAAAGAAGCCATTAACAAAATTTCATCTCCCCTTTTACTGCGCTTCTTACTGTATGTGTAGCATGCATGCTAGTGTACATATAGTGTGTGTGTGTTAGAATGTGTAGAGTCTGTGCATGATTAATATAATCGTAACTGTCCTGTGACTGCAAGCTTATCTCAAAGAGAGAATAAGCCTAAATTTAACATCCACCATCTGTACATGTCAGGATTATCTTTATGAAGGACGTTGATTTCTGGGATATGGTTAATCTACACATCTTGCTATGAATGCAACAGAATCTATTGGGAATACTGAGCCTTATTTCCATAATTTGTTGGGCTTCATTAAAAAAAAATAGATACACAGTTTCATGACACTATGCCACTGGGTTACATGGAGTGTTATCTTCTTTCAGGTGATAAACTTTAGCTCAGGTGAGGTTGGGTACAGCCAGAACGATTTCACCAAAAGAGTGGGCTTCAGCGTGGCCATGCCCTCAGCCAACATCTCCATCTACATCAACAACACCCAGGAGACGGACACTGGACGCTACTTCTGCAGCGTCATCATCCCTAAAGGTCTTAGCATTTCAGGAGAGATGAGCCTTAATGTCAAAGGTAATGCATCACAGCGTCAGAGAAATTCCAAAGGTTAAGTTAAATCAGAGCAGCTTGCGACACACAGCTCACACGTTTCCTTGGATATGAGGGAGGAAAAAAAAAGCAGACTTAAGTAAACGCTACAGATTCTTTGAAGGAATTTGGACCAGTGCACTAAAAATCATATGTGAGCGAATGCTAAGCACAAATACAACTCATCTGCTGTCTAGGGATTCAGAGAGCTCTGAGGTCATTGTGTCACTGACAAGCAGCAGATGGAAACAGAGGGGGTGGGAGTGAGCAGGGGTTGTCAAAAGAATTGTCTTTCTTGTATGCTACTGCCCATAAGAATCTCCACTTTGTTAGCATTGGATTAAAGCAGAATGCACAAGGTCAGAGGGTCACAGATCCTATCTTCTTATCCTGCAGATTGTTGACTAACACTGTGTGTGTCTGTCTGTGTCTGCAGTCCCTCCATCTCCACCGGTGTGCACCATGACAGGGAACCCAGTGGTGGAGGGCAACGTGACTCTGAGCTGCCAGTCCAGTTATGGAAAACCAGTTCCACATTACAAATGGACCAAGGCTGCACCATTGTCTGAGGTCTTTTTCTCTCCGATGCAAAGTGAGTGTTTAAAAAGGTTGTTAAAGTAAAACTGCCAGTTCTTTTTATAATACTTTATTAATCCTGCAAGGGGAAATTCAGTTTTACTCCAAACATGACTGATGTTTAATGAACATGAACTCACACAAAGGCCGAAATACACACACATGTACAAACAGGATCCTATTGATCTGCATTAATGGAGAGGTCTCAGAGTGAGGGGGGCTGCCCACAGCGAGCGCTCCAGAGCAGTTTTGGGGTTTGGTGCTTTGCTCAAGCGCACCTCAGCAGTGCTCAGGGAGAGGACTGGCGACCCTCTGGTTCCTAACCCAAGTCCCGAAAGACTGAGCTACTGCCAATCATCCATATAACAGAAATGTATAACTGTCATCTCCATTTGATTACCCTGCGTAATATCTATAGAAATAGATAGTTTGGTTTTATTTTCTCTGGTTGTTCTGACATTATCAGGTTGACTAAATATTATCAATGATTTAAATGATTCCAGCACTGAAAACTTTAATCGCAACAGCTTTTTTTTCTCTATTTTCTGCCAAATATATTACATGCTACAGTGTTGGCCAACGTTACAGACATTGGTGTAGATTTTTATTTAAATAATCCCTGTATGCAAAATATGACTGAAAACTAGCTTGACTTTTCTACTTCCATTTAAATCCATTTACTCACAAGAATTTTTATTCCAAGCCATCAGTCAAGCCAGAGTAAATGTTGGTACACATACTCACTGTACTCTAACATACAAATGTCTTACTGCGCAGTGAGATATGACACATTAGTTTTAGGTACACAGAACTAGAGGAACATCCAGCTACTGTCTCATGTTAGTAGCTACGTTAGCTAGTTTTTTTTTTTACAGCAGGCATTTTTCACTTCAGTCAATACTGAGCACATTACCTTAATGCACATATCACCAGAGGTGTATTCAGAAAGAAAAGCTTGTGATTGGTAGATTCAATCCACTTTTATGTCACACAAGAGCAGGACATGATTGTGATATTTACCAACCAGTGACTTCTTGTTGTAATCTTTCTTTCTGCCATGTTTGTTCCCACTGTTCACTTTCATATTTTGATAGACTCTGTACTTAAATATACAGACATGTTTGATAACTTGACATTTCAAAGCCAGACAGGGAGATCAGAAATTACCTTGTAGGTGTACAGTTTTCTTTTAGAACCAGGAAGAGGATAAATTGAGTTTACAGACTTCCTGAAAGCTGGCCAATAAGAAGAGAGTGGGCTCCTAGTAGGGGGAGATTTTAAAGAGACAGGAACCCGTCCAGCTTGTTTCAGAGATAGAGAGAGGCTGTTTAAAGGGCCAGTGCCTTAATACATCTAGCAGCAGATTTGCTGTCAAGTGAATCATGCAGAGCTACTCCATTGGAGATCCAGATCAAAATTCAGAGCTGATAATAAAATAACATTTACTCTCAATTTCGGAGCAGGTATTGGCAAGTACATCGGCCTATGAACCAATTCGATAATATAAATTTACACCCCCTCCACTCCAAAACAGTAGACGACATAGGTTTGGTAACATAGCTGTTTGCTTTGCTGCCAAGATATGGTGGATATGTTTGCTGCCAACAGGGATGCCCCACAGCTGAAATTGTTAACTACTGTTTTAACAATGCAAAGAAGAACTGATGTCAGGCATTTAATCAATCATAAGAGGAGCACAAGACTGCTGGAGGGGCTGAGAGCTGAAAGGCCTTTCCATTCTATCCATGCAGACTTAGTGAGGACGTATGTTAATCAAAACTTCTCCATGCAGAATTGTACTGTGGCACTGGTTTTGGACCAGTACTTGTCATGGCCAATCAGACTTTATGCATTTAAGAAAAAAACATTATCCGGACATCTCTAGTTGACGGGTGATGGTATTGTGCATGCTGATTCACTGCCAGCTCTCACTGGGACTTGGATTAAATGGAACGGATTTAAATGGATCTTTGTTTCTGCCTCTATGACAACTCAAAATGTCTACTTAAAAGGTCAGCTGGGCTTGATTCATGAATCTCAAGGTTGCATAAAAAAAAAAATCTGCAGACAAATTAAAACCAAAATATCAACAAGAGTAGGTTTTTCTTGAGTTAGGGGGCAAAAATGTGCTCGCTTTCTACAAATGACAGGAGACTAGCATCACATTAATTTCTGAGAAACATAGTAGAAACATATATGTATTTAAGCTTTAGAGACCTTATCACAGCCGCTAGGGTTTGATTCTAATTGGGCGCTTTGCTGCATGCAATCCCCTCTCTCGCTCTCCCCCACCTTTCACTGTCACTATCCAATAAAGGCAAACATTCTTTAAAAAAACAACAGCATTCCTTTTTTCTATAGTAAAATGTATCTGTTTAACACTAGAACAACCGGCATTCTATCACTACTAGAAAGGCCATAGGGGTCATTTTGACTGTTTACAAATTATTTGCATATCATTTCAATAATCAATATCAAATTTAAGAATAAGTGGATCTGTAATGTCGTGAAAGGTAAACTAAACTTCAGGACACAAGCATTCAATTCTAATGAATTTGAAATTTGAATAGTTTATCGACAACCACGGAAACAGCAGCCGGCGTTTTTTGCGAATGGGAATGATCTCTGTATCATTCTCAGGTTCAGTCCCAGAGCCAGTGTCAGATGAAGTTTCGAGAGACCAGGAGACATCGCTTTCCGTATCCGAACCTGCGCCACCATCAGACTCTGCCTCATCAAGGCTCTGGAGCCTCTGTGGCAGTCATCCTCCTCCTTGCTGACATTTTGTTCTATTCTGTTCTAAATCAGATCCTAATTTACTCTATTCTGCCTTTTCAGTGTTGATTAATTCAAATGTATGACTTCTATTCTTTCTATATGGTTTTAGGCAGGTAAGCTTTCTTTCCTCCTTGGCTCGAGCGTTATAAACGATAGTTGCTAGGTAACGGCGATAATTAAGTTATTACATTGCAAAATAAAAAAACAGTCAAAATGACTGCCTTGGTCGTTCTAGTGTTAAGTGCCAATAAAGAGATGAGAGCAATATTCACCTGCAGTCAGGTTATTGTTAGCCATCCTTATTTCCCTTTTAACAAAGATAAGAACCCAACAGAAGGAGAAAGTGTAGAAACATCCTCCCTACACCTGTCCACGTGAAGCTCTGAATGTCATGCATCATGCACTCTACATTCAGATGATGTTGACTTGATATCATGTTGTCAGGTCACACACATAATCAGATGAGGCCTTTGGGCTTTCCTTGGCTGATAAATGCTTCTGGTGCACCTCGGATGGAGATCCTCCATCATACCAAAAGCATGCAGCGTGAAATCCTCTTTACAGATTGAGACAACCCACACAACTCTCCTCAAACAGCACTGCCCCTGCAAGTGAAAGGCAAACTTCTATTGACACATTATTTTGTAGATGTTTGTATTCAGATGATGCTGCACAGTAAACACCATCTGTTTCTGAACAACAGAACTCAGACTGATTGATTGAATATTGGCTTAACTGCTTTGATCTTTTGCCCTCATCTCTTTATAGCAGAACAGTCCTCAGACATATTATACTCCCTCTGATTTTGCCTTGACCCAGGATTTTGTAGTACAGAATGCAAAACCACACCTACATTGCTTGCATCTCTGCGCCCGCGTACATGCTATCAACACTTGTGTTGGAACCCTGTGCTCATCTTTTTATCTGCTCTTTCTCAATGACACTTGATCTTTACACTGCTATCACTATTTATCTCTTTCAGCAATCTCCCTCTCTCTGTGTTTTCCCTCTCTGCTGATCCTCTCTCGGCACTCCTCATTTCCTGTTGACCTTGGTGCCTAATCTAACAAGCCCCATGTCATTACTTGATCAACCCCTCTAAGAGGCATAAGTTGGATTTGGGTCTGACAGTGCAGGCACGCTCATCCAACCCCCTCCCAATCTGTCCGCACCTCTCTTTCCCTTAATTCATTCTCACTCTCACTCTCTGCCATCTTTCCTTAAAAAAAAAAAACAGAATGGAGATCTTGCCCCCGGCCCATGCTTATCCTTGGGTACATGGGTAAGGGTTTTCGCTCATACATTTCCCATTCATTTCCCCCTTAACACCATTCCACCCTTACAAACTGAATTTCATTGCAAACCATGAAATCCAGAAGAGTCCCAGTTTTTGGTGTTACCCCCTGAATTACAGCCGCAAGCTGTTGAAAAGCTTTAAAGAGAAAAAAAAACAACCCACTTAATAATAATGCTTTGAGGATTATGTTTAAATTATCATTACAATTAGAAGAAGAAGAAACAAGTGTAGTATAGTTGTCAAACCTACTAATAAACATTCACATTCTAGTTCCTATTCTTAATTAAGATGTTTTGTGTTACAGTTTAGGTCTACGCTCTTAAAGAATGACAGGTGTTAGCTTATCTTCACTGTGTGTAATAATTTGTGTATCTAATTTAATTTAATTTAAAATGGGTTGAATTTTTCTTTAAATCTTTTGTGTGTTGTTTTAGATGTAGCTGTCATCCTATTAATCCATTACCTCCTCTACCAACTGTGTCCTGTATTTAGAAACACTGTCGTCTTCTTCCCCTAGCCCTTTAAAGCTGGTTAGCGTGCTAAAGCATGAGCACAAAATGGAACATTTTGGAAAATATTCTTATTTCTTGCCTGTGCTGATGAGGTTAGATGAGAACTTCACAGTCTTTCACACAAAATATCGCTACAACGCCAAGTAGCCATCTGAGCAGCTTGTTAGCTTAGCCTGCTGGCCTGCATCGTCCAACATTCACCTTCAGGCATCCCTAAAGTTCTCAAATGATTGCGCTGTATCTTATGAAATAATTTATGCTATTGTTTTGGGATAAATCTTGACATTAGATAAGTGTAACAGGGAAGTTAATTAATGCTGCTGGGCTAACTAGTTACTGCTGGACGAAGCCAAGTTGGTCCACAGTTAAGTGGCTAATAGCTGTAGCTTCATTCACTATGCAGATATGAGTTATCTTAATTCTCATGTATACATCTCAACAAGAAAAAGTATTACCATATTTTCCTCCCAAAAGATTTTGTTACTTGATTTTTGTACCGTTTGTCTGACCATTTTAGAAATCCTAATTTCTTGGTTTAACCTTTAGTTGCAGAATTTAACATTAACATGTATTCAATAACTGCAACCAGCAGCAGTTACTGAATTAGTGAATGAATAGCATATGTATGTTTCCTGTCCATATTGTGTTTGTTAGAATGCAGTCTAACCCATTAGTCCTGCAAGATGAAAGTTATGGCAAAGAGAAAACTTCTGAATCCTTTCTGTAATATATGATGATTCTTGACACATGAAAGTGTGCAAACTAATCCACTGTAGCCTTATCAATGAAATGTGAGGAGGCAGACTATACCATTAGATTCGTATAGAAAAACTACTGCTTTACATTAATCGTGTGTCAAGGCTTTAGACTAATGCTTCCCATTGACCTTGATTTGACAGAAGTGTAATGTGAGTAATGCTCCTGCCTTGGTATGAGGCAGGCAGTGCTTTACTCTACCGCCGCTGGGATCTGATCGCTGTGCCGGCTTGAACTCGCTCCAAGCTCAGAGTCAGCTGACGTTCTGCTAATCTGTCACAATTGGGTTTGGTTCTTCACAGCTGTTTTCAAGCCCGGGGATTAAATAATCAGAGAGCGAGCAGGTGCATATCACACTCGTCTGCTACTTTTTATAGGGACCAACTTCTGTTTTGAATTCTCAGTTGAGGGTTAACAACAAAGGTCTGTTATCTAAGTGGCTATAGTTTACCTATAAATTGTATTATCTAAGTGTAACTGGATTTTCATACTTGTTTGATAACATCGTCTGGAATATCAGCAGGCCGACTCTTACAGGTAATGCTAATCTACAACAAAAACAAAAACCTACCTTTGACTTCCTCATCCAGGTACACTTTTTACATCACTAAATTAATTAATTTGCTGTTTTTTTTGTGTGCACCTTATACTAACAACACTCTTGGTGCAGTAGCAGATGGTGCTGAAAAAAATCCATCCAAGCCACAGCAACCCAAACTTTGGGATGAAGACAGCTGTTTTGAGACAATGATTGTTAGGGATTTTCTTGTCCCTTGCGGCAATATGTTGCTTGCTGGCATGATGTGAACCCTGCCTCTTCATCTGGGATGATTTGGATGAGTCCCAGGGTTGCATTACTTTTCTGTTTGCAGGGATTGACTCTGTGCAAAGTGTGACAGGCATGCATGAACACTTACAAGACACCCAACCAACCGAACATCAGTTTTAAGAGAGGGTGTTTCCACACAGTGGATGCACACACCCACTTTCTCTTCCTTACCTCCCCACGAAAGCAGAAACGCATCAGCTGAAGACATGCAGCAATGTGATGTCTAAGATTGGATTTCAGAGGATTTGTTGTGATAAGTCCCCATAAAGCTTGTTTATTTTTTTCTGCAGCCTGTGTTTGCAACAACTCAGCATTTTTAAGCCAGATGGGCAAGGAAGAGGAGATTCTTTTGAAAGGAAAAACCCGGTATTAAAAGCACTGAGAAAGATTCCCCCACACATGACCTTAGCATGAGAACATACTAAAACAAAAACAACTGACCGACATTATTATACAGCAAGACAGCAGAATCATCAGCCATGGAAACACACCGATGCCAAACTCTGAACTGTAGTTATTGGATAAAGCCCAGTTGTGGATTATTTCTGGATTACGTATGGGAATCAGCTACAAATGATTCAGAAATACCATGAATGGTACACTCAGGTAGAATTGTGATTTTGATGTGCTACGGCTTGAACTGAATAATGATTTTTCATGCAACAAAAAATAACTACAGGAAAACTGATTTAATTATACCAGTTTTATAATTAATATGAATTTTACAAAGTCAACAACTGTGACCCCAGTCAGAGTTGGATACAGTTTAACTCAACATTGCACAACTCCTGCTCACTAGCAGCTGCCTGTCAGCTGTAGCTGACTTACTGTAGACCAGTGACAGAAGTAGCCTTTTCTCAGCTCGAGGCACGAACTTAAATTAAAGTGCAGCTTGTTCAGACAGTTCCTTTTCAGTCTCATTAGCCTCCATGTTTGCCATGTTAGCATTGTCAATGCTAGTATTAGCCCTCTGTGTGGTTTTTCCACCATATGTAAACATAAATAATGGTATCATGATACATCACTATAAGAGAAGAGATACCCTGAAATTAGATCAGGAAGTCACAAGTGTTTATTTTTAGGATTACGATGCACTTTTTGTTGTTACTAAAAGTCACAGTCTACTATTTAAAGATAAGAGATGTGAAAATCCAAAGTTGACAAACGTGTCTGAACTCTGAGAAAGCATTGACTTTAGAAGACAATTGTCTATGTTATTTCCATAAAGTTCATTCTTGCAGTGTTACAGTAGAGTTGTGTTGGTTTCTGTAATAATATAGTGGTCCCCTGATGTTGTACTGTTGTATAATAATTAAATGTGGATCTGTCTAGTTTCCTGTATGCACCAAGCCCACATGCCCATGAACATATGATCGTGTCTGGTGTGTAACTCTGTGGTTGTGTTTACAGACGAGAGACACGGCACCCTCAGGCTCAGCAACCTCACTAAAGGCATGTCAGGGAAGTATGTCTGCAGAGCCAGCAACACAGCGGGCTCGGATAGCTGCTCCATTAACCTGGAGGTCATCACCTGTACGTACACAGCACACAAAAAATCTGCAACACAAACACACACACACACACACCGTGTATTTAACACATCTAACAGCCAAGACCCTGTTTTGATGTTAATACTGTGTTCTGTTTCCCAGCCTCTAATGCAGGTGTAGTTGCAGCAGCTACACTGGGGTCGATAGTGGGATTGGTGGCCATGGTGCTCTTCCTCATATTCATACTGAGGAGGAAGCGGGACACTGAGGAGGAGATAGCCAATGAGATAAAGTAAGAGATACAGTACCTAACACATACAGTACATTGTATACACTTTTAGAGTCTTATGCAATCCAAAAAAACAGCAGAGCAATAAACTCAACGTTTAATTCCCTCTCTTATTGAAAAACTGCTGAGGTCATTTTTATACTGCTATTAACTGGACTATAATATACTGAGAGGTGTTTTTGACTGTCTGTACTTCCCATCTAGAGCCCATTGAGTAATCTCTGCCTCCCTCTCTCTTAACTCTCAGGGAGGATGCTCAAGCACCAAAGCGGGTGTCATGGGCAAAGAGCAACACAGGCTCGGATATTGTATCCAAGAACGGCACACTGTCCTCTATAGCAACCAGTCCTCGACCCCGAGACCCCAGCGCACCGAACTTCAACTATCCATACTCCCCAATGTCGGCTTCTGATGCAAGCTCTGTGATCAACACATACCAGCTGCGACCTGGGGAAGGCAACACGCTGCAGGGACTTCCTGGTTACAACCACGGGGGCACCCCTATGCAGAAACAAAAGAGAACACCCACGACAAACGGGGCCCCTCCTCAGCTGCTGAGGAGCCCCGCAGTCGCCGTCCCCATTAGGACTGAAGGGGCTCAGCCTCAAGTGCCACCTCCACTCACCGTGCCCCCGCAGGTCCGCTCCTCCACCCTGACGCGCATGGGGGCCGTTGCTGTCATGGTGCCTGCTCAGAGCCAAGCAGGCTCTCTGGTGTAGCCAGCAGGAGCGTCAGGGTGGGAAAATACAAAAGGACAGTGTGGGTGTGGCACGCCTTGCTGGAAATGGAAAAAGCATTTTTCTCCATGAAGACCTGAGAGGCTGTGAGAGATCAAATAATCTCTGCAGGAGGGTTGCGCATCATTTGCACAAGCTCTCCCTTCCTTATTTGAGTTTTTTTTTTGTATGCTGAGCTCTGGCTCACTAAAGAGAAATATATTTTTATTTACACACCTGTACAGGGGTCTTAAAAAATTTACCCCAATGGTAATTTAGTGCAGTATGCATTACAGAAATTGCCAATTATTTTTGAGGGAGTTGTGATGATTTAATGCAATGTGTCTGTCCAATTGAAGAATTCAGTTTGGTTGGAATTTTAAAGTTTGTGCAGAGTATGTTTTGGCTACATTTGTATGATGTATTAACAAATAAATACAAACTAAATTTTATACTTTACATTTCACTGTTCCCTGGCTGTGTTAAAGGATCACTCTCGGTCACTTCTCTCAGGCTAACTGCACTTGTTCAAACAGACACAGCAAAGTCACAATTCAGGTATTTGTCTTTGAAATGTCTCACTTTTTATTTAACAAACATTTATAACTGTTCACTTCAGGTTTTTTTTTTATTTTGTTTAACCTACTGTGTTAGTGTCAGTATGGTTTCAGGAGATAGATGTCAACAGCGAGAACATACTTTGAATATTTTGCCTGTTCTGGTAGATGGAATGTAACCAAAATAGTGAGTACAGCACTGCTAAAGAAGTCGATGGATTCTGACTATTTTGTTCAAAAGTGCTCCGTATAACTAAATATAAATACTGTAAACTTACAAAGCAATTAGTTGGAGGAGGATGTAACTGATGGCCTTGTTTGTTTGTTTGTTTTTTGTAAGTCAACTCTGCAGATGGGTTTGGAAGAGATATGTTGATGTAATGCTAAATGGAGCACTTTTATGCAGTTTTGATTGTCGACAATTTTTTCAATAAAGTGTTCTGAAGTGTTTGATTTTTTTTTTCCACTCATGTAAACCTATTAACAAGTCCCAGTTACGGTGCTAATAAAAACAAAAGATTCCTTTTATGAAAGCCGAGATCATTTTATTTGGAGTGTGATCAGCAAATATAATTTGCAAAGTGATATTTCGACACAAAACCCAAAATACAAGAAAACATGTGTTCCTGTGGAAGTACACACGTTTTCCTGTTTCAATTGTATATACTACAGAACACACAGTACACAAACATTACAGTAACCATGATCATAAATAAGATCTGAAGGGACACTTTATCAACAGAGTATCTCAAAGTGCACTTGATTTTTGACAGAATAACGGTTTGTAACACATAGGCTGTCTTTAAATCCTGAAAGGAATAGAGTGAAAGAATGATCCAATGCTCATCTATCGAACGTGAATGAGACTGTAGTGAAGATCTCCTCTGAATTATAAAACAAGGTGACAACTCTACATCCTCACTAGCAGCTTCAGGGGAACCTTTATTTTTTTTTATTGGAAAGTCAAAACATAAGTACTATAAAACCAATACGGATTAACATGGAAATGATTACATGTGTATGTCGCTTGCAATCACAGTTGTAATGTAACACTGAACAAATTCATAGTTCTCAGCTGTGTTATGTTAGCTATTTATTATCATGCTAACAGCTAATTGTCTGATTATACTCACATTGAAATGTGCTTTGAACCTGGACTCATTCTGGCATGTTGGTGTAAAATACTTACGATACAATTTAAAGTCTACGGCTATTCAGTCGGCATAATTAGTGTTGGACATGTATACACTTTGACCTGCAGGTGGTGCTATTTGAAAAGTCATCTGAGCAGTTGTTACTGGTGTATTTCACTGTGGACCAGTTAAATACAACAGACTGATGATTGAAGCACATCAGTGTGAGGAAAAAAAAAAGAGAAGAAAATATTAATTTCTCTAGCAGGGAAAAATAACTACTTTTACTGAGGGGTTCACCCTACATTTTCCAATGGCCCTTGGCACTGTGAGCAAACCTTAGACGCAGAGGGGCACTTCAGGAAACCAGTCACACAGTAACAGAGCAGAAAAGACCATAACAACATGGTCACTACTGGAGATCCAGAGATGATGATTTATCAAGACTCTGACAGAAGATTACGAGAAATGATCATCCTCATCACCTCGTTTGTGCCTTCAGGGGAAACGAGAAGAGAGTAAAGGGTCACAAAACACCGCAAAATTAGGAAAAACAAAGCTTGACAGGCCTAATAAATGTAAGTCGATTAAATGGTACAAATCTAGGAACAGTTATGTCTGTATTACTGAAGCTCACCCTCTAGGATCTGATGAACTCTGATGTCTCGAACAAACTGCTGCACTGCGTAGTCTTTGAGGTAACCGTACCCACCGTGCATCTGAAGAGCCTGGTTGCAGATCTGTTGGATGACAGCAGGTGAGAATTTAGAACGAGTTAAATCAAATCTGACTTGGTTAATGGTGACGATAAATACTCCTGCAGTTACGCAACATCACTCACATTAAAGCACTCATCTGTAGCAAAGAGCTTGGCCATGGAGCAGAGCGAGACGGCATCAGGCCGGTTCTCCTGAAGCGCTGTCGCGGCTTCACGCACCAGAAGGCGGATGCAACCAACTTGGTGGCCATTTCTGCCAGCTTGAACTGTAGAAACTTCAAAACGTATAGATGACGGGTAGAGGAAAAAAAGGATTCTTGATGAATGCTCAGTAGCAGTGGCTGAAATCTTGTGATCTTTGGATTAAAAGCATTACCTGGTTGTTTGAGAGCGTCTCTCCGAACTGTTTGCGCACCAACAGATGATCCTTTGCCAGCAGCACAGAGGCATGAGCCGCCCCAAGAGAACAGGACGCTGTTGGCAGAGGGTTGATTGAGAGGCAGCTGATTTTTCTTGCAAAATAAAAGTCCTTGTTTGACCATTCTCAAAGCAAGAGTATTTAACTTTGTCAGAAGTAGAGTTGCAGTATAAACATTAAACATTGAATGCATCCCACCATCATTTCTACCATAAGATTTTAACCGACTGTTACATCTGGCATATCAATCAACACCATGTTGGTTTTTTGGAGACAGAAGTCCTCTTATTTTGAAAAGATAGACTTTTTTTTTACAACATGATTATACATTTGTCTGTCATGTACTCCACATGCTGAGGAGACTCGCTCTTTACGATCATCAAAAGAACGTAGCTCACTTACCAACTTTTATTAAGTTATACTCTGTTGTATAATTTCTCATTCTCAGGCTGATATAAAACATTGTTTCTAGCTGTGGGGATTCATTTGTGTAGGGAATTCATAGAACGTTAAAACAATAGAGGGATGTGTGTTCCCCCTTCCTCACCGATGTTAATCCTGCCTCCATTCAGGCCTTTCATGGCGATGCTGAATCCTTGTCCTTCCTCACCGAGCCGGTTGCTCACTGGAATGGCACAGTCCTCAAATATCACCGCTCTGGTCGGCTGAGAGTTCCAACCCACCTGGAGCACCGATTGAACACAACTGAGTGACTACGACTTAATCCTGCCATCTAGTGGTTAACTGCTAAACAGCAAATAATGCAATCAACAGCTTAGCATACATAGGAGCTATAAAGTGTTTTGTCGACATCAATAAACTCTACCTTTTTTTCTTTTTTGCCAAAATTGAGGCCTGGGGTTCCCTTTTCTACCACCACACATGAGATGCCTTTTGGTCCTTTACTTCCTGTTCTGCACATCACAACATAGACGTCTGTGTCTCCTCCTCCACTGATAAAAGCCTGATGAGACAAGGCATGTTTTCAGGCTTACTTATGTATACATAAAGACACTATCAACAGTAAAATATTATCCATAGATACGTAGAAAATCACCTTGGAACCATTCAAGATGTATTGGTCTCCTTTCCGCTGTGCAGAGGTCAGAAGAGAGGCAGCGTCACTGCCAGCGCCTGAAATCCAAGATGACAACATGATAGTGTTGTACATTTTTATCAACATATTACACAGAGAAAATAAACTTTTCAGTAAATTTTCACGTTTTCTCCCTTGCATACGTTTTCTTTTACATGTGAAGACTGACCTGGTTCTGTGAGACAATAGGAGGCAAACTTGTCCATTGAACAGAGATCAGGACAGAACTTCTCTCTCTGCTCAGTATTCCCAAAAGTGTCGATCATCCAGGCACACATGCTGCAAAGAGATGAACACAATAAGATAAGATAAGATAATCCTTTATTTATCCCACAATGGGGAAATGAACAGTGTTACAGCAGCAAAGAGCAAAGATTGCAAACAGAAAGTGAACACAGTACAATTTCTGAATAAAAAAAGAAAAATTAAGAATGTACAAAAAAGGACGTACACAGCAAAACAAATCTGCACACACACACACACACACACACACACACACACACCGTGTATTTAACACATCTAACAGCCAAGACCCTGTTTTGATGTTAATAGATACTAAAAATAGATTTTTAAAAATTTAAAAGAAAAATAGATCAGTAGTCAGAATGCAACACCAAGTGGAGTATCTATCATTATAGCACCTTCAGTCGGAAGGCTCACAGTGTAATTACTAATACTCTCAAGATCAACACATAATATATCTCACACAGTAGAAATAATTGGAAATAAGTTTTGATCTGAGATTTTTTTTTTCCCATCATTGCCAATCCTATTGCTGTTTTCTATTCTATGTTATTTGTTCCCCTCTATCCAATAACTGTGGCCTAATTGGTTATAATTTCATGGGTTATTTCATTCATTAATTGGGTATTGTTTAAAGCTACATGTCTTCTCAATTCACGCTGCATACCTCAATTTAAGTCTTATTGAATAAATCCCCATCTCTCTTGTCATGATGTTTCATTTGCAGTTACATGCAAACTACTGCCGTATGATGGAGTTCTTACTTGTGGATACTGATGTAGGCTGTGGTGCTGACGCATCCTGTAGACAAGGCCTCAAAAATGACCGACGTGTCCAATCGAGAGAGACCTGAACCTCCGACATCGGGCTGAACGTAGATGCCACCAAACCCCAGCTGGGCTGCCTTTCGCATCGTCTCCACAGGAAACACTTCCTGGGAGAAGAAAATAAGAAATGTACAGATAAATGACGATGTCAAGCCACTCAAAAGCTATATTAGACACAGGATAAAATCCTTTCGCATCGTCTCCACAGGAAACACTTCCTGGGAGAAGAAAAGAAGCGGACAAATGTACAGATAAATGACGTTGTCAAGCCACTCAAAAGCTATATTAGACACAGGATAAAAATCAGGTGAAATGTGACACATTTATCAGCACCAGTCCCAAACGGTACTGCCATGTGTGATGTCACAGTGAGGTAAGCTGTCATTGAAGAGCTGCCTTCAAAAGAGCCAAAGTCTGAAGGCTGAATCTGCTGCTTTGACAGCACTTTACTTGTTTTAACATACGATGAATTAAACAAGCTGCAGGCGTTCTTTTATTAGAAAATGACGAGACATTTTGAGACTACAGCTAAAAAAAAAAAACCAGAAACAAGGTTTCTAAAGCACTAAATGTTTAATGGGAGGTGTGAAGCTCACTCTGCCTCCTGACTGGAGGAACAGGAGAAACAACTTAACCAATAACAACAACATTTGATTCTGTTACAGTCTATGGTCAACATACTGCCTCAGTAGTTGCTGGTAAGCTGATGTTAAAAATGTAAACACAAACTCAAGTATGTTAGTTAACAATTAGTTGTGGATTTTCTTTCACAGACACAATGCGACGATAAAACAACAACACAGTCCTCTATTAATGACACTTACGGTCGATACACGAAGCTATCCCTCGTCTCTGTACACTTCGGTTACAAAGTAAACGATGGTTCCTACAGATGCTGGAGCCGAGTTTTGCAATTCTACCTAGAGGTCCAACAGCCGCCATGTTTACCTTGTTCAGTTATGTCACACGCTTGCTGCCGCTATGGCTGCTGGGAAATGTAGTAAATCTTCTTGTTGAAGTCGAGAGCGTTGAATGGGTTTAATGTTGCCTCTTGTGGCTGTTTTTCCGTAAAACACCCAATTGTTGCGAGCTGATTTATCATCTATTGGCTACACTGGAAATGGAAAGCAAATATTAAATGGATATATTTTTGAAGATTCCTCTTTTTAAATTCTTCATGGTCAGAACGAACATTTTCGATATCCAACAACAATTGCATCTCAGATGTCCACAATTCTTCTTAGGTCAAATTGTGTCACCTTTGGCAATAATTTGCCAATCAATATGACATATATAACATTTATACTACTCACAATGTATTTTGGATATTTAAATTTACTTAATGGATATCTGGAATGTTTTTTCATGTTGGATAGCTCAAAGTAGTAGTGTGACTAGTAACACTTGTATTTTAGATATCTGAAATGTACGTTTTGGCATAAGAATAATTTATTTCATTCTTTCATCTTTTTCTATCATGTGTTGTCATTTGTTGTTTGTCTATTCAAAAGTACACTCAGTTTACTGCACATTGCACATATTGCACATTTCAAGTTTACCTTTTCTTTACATTTTCTTTTATTTATTTTGTTGTGTACCTTTTGCACTATTTAGAATGTGTTACTGTAAATATTATTTATCTTATTTTACCTTATTTTATTTGATCATTTTACCTTATTTTATTTGATCTATTTTACCGTATTTTAAAGAATAAAGAATTTATTACTGTAAATATTATTTATCTTATTTTACCTTATTTTATTTTATCTCTTTTACCGTATTCTATTTTATCTTATTTTACCTAATTTTATTTGATCTCTTTTACCGTATTCTATTTTATCTTATTTTACCTTATTTTATTTTATCTATTTTACCGTATTTTAAAGAATAAATAATTTATTACTGTAAATATTATTTATCTTATTTTACCTTATTTTATTTTATCTCTTTTACCGTATTCTATTTTATCTTATTTTACCTTATTTTATTTTATCTCTTTTACCGTATTCTATTTTATCTTATTTTACCTTATTTTATTTTATCTCTTTTACCGTATTCTATTTTATCTTATTTTACCTTATTTTATTTTGATCTCTTTTACCGTATTCTATTTTATCTTATTTTACCTTATTTTATTTGATCTCTTTTACCGTATTTTATTTTATCTTATTTTACCTTATTTTGGTTGTATTGCACTCCGTGGGACGGAGACAAACGCAATTTCGATTCCACTGTATGTCTGGCATATTTTGAAATTGACAATAAAGTTGACTTTGACTTTGTTGTATGAAGAAAGAACGACTTTTGGATATAGGAAATGACATCAGTGAATTGGAAAAATGTTAATGTGAATGTCTTTGACAACAATTCTTACCATGGGGATACAGTTTTGTCCGTAAGAAACGCTGTTGTGAGTAACGTACTGATCGGTATCGGGGAGCGAGGTAGGTAGGGGTGCTGCTTGTCACAAGTGGGTGTAACGCGTCTTTTCGCCTACAGGAGCAGTAATGAGCTTCATTAAAGGTGAGCTGTGTGCGCTGCCTTAAGACGAAGAAGACGAAGAAGACGAAGAAGACGTCTCACCCGCGAAACACTCTTGGGATAAAAATAACACGAAGGTGAGTTTCATGCGAAATCAAAATAGTGGTCCCAAACAGTATGTTTAAGCTTTACATAAAGAACGACATGAATGAAGACAACTAGCAAGTCGTTTTGGTAAAAAATAAATAAAAACAAGCCCGGCTAAACGCCTTTAATCGATGCATCTGGTTTGTAAAAGAGAAACTGTTGGCCTACGTTTGTAATGCAATGTGTTTGTTTTGCGGTTGATACATGACTAAAAACTCATTATCATTGTCAAATCATGCAAAGAAATACCTGATATGTCAAATAAGTCATTATATATTCAAAAGCCACATGAACTGACGTCATTGCCTGCTCCTTACTGTATGTTCGTCATTATCTTTATCACGACATGAGACATATCAGAAGCTTTTTTTTTTGATGTGAATGTAAACATCTCATGCAAAAGGTTGTTGTTACTTTATTGAGAAATGGTGTCGTCATCATCATGTAGCAGGCTATGTTAACAGACTATTAATACTGTACTCTGAGCATTGTTTGCAGTCCTGTGTAGCATCACAGTCCAGCAAACATCTTAATATCTGCTTTAAACTGATTGTATCATTGGAGGTGAAATACCATTACATATTCTTTAATATAAAGTCATTTGTTTAAGAAAAGCAGCCTTTTTGAGTACAATTGCATACTCAGATCTGTGTACAGTCTTATCTTAAAAACTGCCCTGCCAGTAATTTGTGGAGGTTTTCTTTCCTATTTAAATCGGTATTGGTCTCACAAATCCAATATCTGACAGTCAGGAGTTTTAAACCTGTCTCATTTGGACTGCGAGAGATGCCACCAAAGAAAAGGACCAGAGTGAATGAAAGACTAGCAAAACCAGGTAAGCAAAGTAAATCACAGAGTAAATGTCTTGTTGGTATGTTGTGTTTTTTTTTCTTCTCATGAGTGACCGTTACGCCCCTCAACAACACAGGAAAAGATGAAGACAGTGCAAAAGAAGCCGTTGGAGCTAAAAAGAAAGCTACGGGAGTAACAAAAGAGAGCTCAAGCACACCCAGCACTCCCGAGTACTGTCACTGGCTGATGAAGTCTGAGCCTGAGAGCCGCTTTGAGAACGGCATCGACATGAAGGTACGAAGCAGCGATGGCCTCTTTGGCACAGTCTGTACTTCATCTGCACTCGTCTTGACGCTTCTGGTTCATTCTGCAGTTCGGGGTTGAGGATCTGAAGGCTCTGCCTGATCAGACCAGCTGCTGGGACGGCGTGCGCAATTATCAGGTACAGCAGAGCGGATTTTTGTCTCGCTAGCCTTATGCAAAATGATCCGTTCTTCATCTGTCTTAGGAAATGTTCCCCTAAAGGATCCGTTCTCTGCAGGCACGTAATTTTATGAGGCAGATGAAAGAAGGGGACTTGGCTTTCTTTTACCACAGCAACTGCAAGGAACCGGGGATCGCTGGAGTCATGAAGGTAAAACGCTCTCGCTCATTTTGTAACGATGTGTACAAAACTTCACATTGACGTAGTATTCAACTGTTATTCCTTTCCTACTGTAGATTGTGAAGGAGGCTTATGTTGACCATACTCAGTTTGATAAGAAAGACGTGCATTTTGATGCATCCAGTAAAGCGGACAACCCTAAGTGGAGCATGGTAAAATCATTCATGGGGGGGGGGGGATTACAATAACTAATTATAACAGAGCCTGAAAGTTGATGTTATGTACTTCTCTCTCAGGTAGATGTGCAGTATCAGAGGATGATGAAGCGCTTTCTTCCTCTGTCCGAGCTGAAAAAGTATCACCTGCAGCATCGGACCAAAGGAGGGCCTCTGAAGGACATGGCCCTTTTTACGAGGGCCAGGCTCTCTGTGCAGCCCCTGACATCTGGTGTGTGAAGAGACCTGTTGATGAAAACGTATTCTACTCTCTACTTTCATTACCAGTACACAATATTGACCTAGTTGTTCTGCTTTTTTTGTTTGTTATTTTTTGCAGAGGAGTTTGACTTTCTCCTGAGTTTGGAGGATGAAGAACCTTTGTGAGGACGAGAGAACACCAAACACTGTCCTAGCTACATAGTTTTATATTTTTGTATCTTGTTTATAATACATCAAATTAAAAGTGGTTCAATTATGGCTCATATCTCATTGTTTATCTGAACTTCTAAATCAGTGTTTCCCAAACTTTTTTAATTGGACCCCCCATCCTAAGAAAAGCTGAGCCCTCCAATGACCCACACCGAGAAAAGTTTTTTCACTCTTAAAATTGTCATCCTCAGATCAGAATGACTTAAGAGGCCTGTCATAAATTAATTTTTTTTAATCTTCTTTTGTACTGAAGCTGAATTCTAATTGGGTCAGTTTTTTTAAACCGCTTTGCTAAAGATATTCTATTTGACCTCTGTTGTAACCTGGTCACCTCTGCTACCCACAGCGATTTAGCATAAGATAGCAATGCAACTGAATTATGTTTGAATCATTGATGAATCAAGAATTTGGCATATTGAAAGAAATAAAAAACATCTTGTGAATAAAAAAAGTGATAATGCTTGATGTAATCCATATAGCGCACTGCTGGCGAAAGAGAACTGCTTATGTAATACAATGATACTCGAATCAAAATTGACTAGTGAATATAAATGATCTAGTGATGTCGGCACATATCTACTAAGTAGCTGATACTAATAGTCACTGGATATGCTAACATCGGCCGATATTATCGACTGGCCGTGTATCAGTCGGGTTCCAAATCTCAGATTCTTCACATTTTGACTCATTCCAGCAAAACAACCAAGTCTGAACCTTTTTATTTTCCATTTGGCATCATTTTATTTGACTTACAAGGACAAGGAAGAATCGATTAGCATTTTGCAAAAGATAGATAGTTCTACTGTCACTTTTTCTCTGGTTAAAAGACTAAAATTATGTTAGAGGCAGGAGGATTTCATTTGCTTGATACACTTAGGCACAACTCTGGAGTCCCTAATAAAGAGGATACAGAAGACTTCACACTATCGGACCTTTTCCCTAACACCACTGGAATGCTGAGGTCAAGCAGATGAACATGAAGGACATTGTTGTGGCACCGTGTGCAGAATAATCAAGTTACACAAGCTGGACCGGGGAGCAGGATTAAAGGTTTGAGCTGGTCATATTTACAGATAAAACAAAAGTGGGATTAATACTTCACTGCTCTTGCTTTAAATGACGGAAAGAAAAATTCCAGTTTCAATCATTTTTTTTGTTGTGCAAACAGCCAAAGAGAAATGTGTTCAGCATTAACAGTGCAAAGTTATCTCAGATGTCTTCTTGACCTTATAACAGTGTTAGGAATGACTTCTGTTAAGGTGGAATGTTGGAGATACAAAATGTTGAATGACTTTTTAAGTTGCGTTAAATAGAAGGTTAGAAATGATCCCGAGATAGCATTAATTGGACTTTTAACGAAGAGAGAGCTTAAAAATGTAAGAATATCACAGAAGAGATTTTACACAGTGGACATGGCGTTAGGTGATTAGAGAAAAAAACAAAGCGTTAATGAGGAAGGGCAGGACCAGCAGCCTGAAGCCACGCTGAACGCCTCATGCAAACTGTTTTCATTGTTCTCAAACTGCGGTGCTCTATGTCAGCTCCCTTCTTCCTCCCTTTACAAGCAGCGGCTGCAAATAGAAAGCAGCTGCCGCACCAGATGTTGTACACGCGACAGGTTCCTCCACCACAGACGCTGGTGATGAGTCCGGTGGGAGGAGAGACTGCAGGGTGCGCTGTTTTCTACCCGCTCTCCTCCTTCGCCGCCTGCTCCAGGGCGCTCTCCGAAGCGGCCGAGCCCTCGAACCTCTGAGAGGCGATGGCGGCCTGATGGGACATGCTCTTCCTCACCACGTCTCCTTTCCTCCACAGTGTGATTTCCTGTGTGGGGAGAAAAGGAAGGATTAAGATTAAGGATCCTTTTAAAAGCCTGAGTAGAATAACAAGGCTCCATAGAAACACCTCAATCAGAACTGCTGCAACTTGATGAAGTGCACCAATTTATTTTGCTGCAATGGTTCCCATTACCATGGTAACAGTTGTATTCGCTTTTTCTCTGCAAAATATCTACACTGTTTTCAAAAAGCTCTTAATAGTTCAGAAACCAAATCGTGCTAACCCACTGGATGACTCTTCATTTAGAACAGTAAGTGGAGGAACTCTTCCAGTCACATTCATACGACATACATAGTTTTTAATTAGCCATATAATTGATCAAAGTCATGCTTTTGTCTCAATCAGAATTTGTTTTATAATTTATAACCCAAGAGTGACATTGACTTAATTGGAAATGATTCAATTAAGATCATCTTTCTTTTTTTTTTGTTGCTTTTTTTCATCTCATTCAGCTCTTCCTCTAACGTATTTATTTGCCCCTGTGATGTTTCTCTTTTAACAAAGTCATATTAGAGGTTCATTATCAGAAAGTCACAGCTGTTCACAGGAATAGTTTACCTGTGAGACAGCATGGAAAATAAACGAGCATGGAAGTGACTCCCCTACTGTACACAGCGTGTTTTCTGTAATGTGCATAAAAGGTGGGCTGCTTTAAAACTTTGTGGGGAACAACTGTTTTGACGGTTTCCTGTTACATGTTCACTGTTTATACATTGTGTTGTATATACTTTTTTATCACTATTACTGCTAGGGCTCAAATTACCAATCATTTAACTTCCTAATTTATGGTAAAAAAAAAGGAAAAACACTTAAATAATTTCCTTCTGATCTACTTGAAACTGAAGCTGTTTTGGGAGTCAAAGTAGCAGACAGTAAATGTTGCAAGGTTGAACCAAAATAATCTAGTTAAACTGCAACCCCTTCATGCCACTTCTGATTTAACTTCACAAAGTTAAAGCGAAAGCTGTTTTTGTAGCTCAGATTCAATCTGTTTTGAATCTTCCTGGATTTAGTCCAGTGTTCTGGTGTTAAATGTTAATTTAGCTGCCAAATATTTAAATAAAGCATTATCTGATTATTATCTGGTTGTCAAAGCTAACGATCCAATCAAATTCATCCCATCATTAGGTCCCACCTTCTATCTTGTGATGGTTCCCTTTTCATGAGGAAACATGTCACAACCCGGCAGTTAGATCCTCTCAACAGTCTGTCCCATGGTTACTTTAATATCATGCTTATTAGCGTGATACTCCATGCTGCCTGTATATATTTACTGTAGATACGATGTTGCTGTTTTGTCCAATTAACACGTCTCTTCATATCTTTGGTTTATAACATGCAAACACTCAGAACACCTGAAAGAAACCAAGCCAGCAGTAATGCACACGATAAAGTAATCATTTTTAAACTTGCTGCGAGAACAAGGCAACAGTCAGATGATTAAGTGTAAACAAACTGACTTCGTGCCGTGAGGAGCGTCTTTTATCAGAAGCTCACCTGCTGTTTGAAGTAGCGTCTCTCCTCCTCGTCGATCAGCACCAGGTTCAGGTAGTAGCGCACGGAGAACTTTTTGTTGATGTCTCTCATGGTGGGAGTCAGATCATAACCAGCCAGGAATAACCGGATGGGGATAGACTCTCCTGAAGAGTGAAAAACACTGAGACGTGACTGATCACATCAATCTTGACTGCGTAAGGAGGAGACTCTAAATGAACGAGGTGTTTACCTCTGACCGGAGCTCCATCCATGATCTCGTACTTTGCGATGGTGTCGTTTTCATGGTACACACTCGGGCCGGTGCCTGTTGTCTCCCGTTTGATGATGTCAATCTCCATGTGCTTAATCTTAATCCTCACCAGCAGGAAGTAGATTTTCCCCACAATTACATCTTTCAGGTGGTACCTGGACATGAGAATGACGGTTTATACAACAAATCACATCATTAAAAGGGGGCGGCAGTAGGTCAGTCTGTAGGGACGGGGTTGGGAACCGGAAGGTCACTGAGTCTCGATGGGGACCAAATCTGGAAGTTTGTCTGGTAGCTGGAGAGGTGCCAGTTCACTTCCTGAGCACTGCTGAGGGGCCCTTGAGCAAGTCACCAGTGCAACTACCAGTTACCTTTTTTTTTTTTGGGTATGTTAGATTTGGAGATTTTTTTATCATCATTTTAAGTGTCACTAATGTTGTTGGTATTATGTGTAAGCTTACACATAGCACTGCGTTTCTTATTAAAAGAGCAACCAAATAAATAAATAAATATGCATACTTTGAGCTGCACATACAAACAGGAAGCAGCAACAACTGTACAGTTTTCAACTTAATTTTCTTTTCTTTTTTTTTTACTGAAGTGCAACAATTGTTTTTGTTCATCATATGAAATGAGCTGTTCCATCTTGTCTGAATTTCTTGATGTAAACGATTTAAGGGTGCTTCTTTCTTGATCTGTGACGTGGTAAATACATTCCACAAGTTAATTACGTAAACATCAGACCAGATACCGATATCAGATCAGATCTGTCCCATCTTTAGTTACATTATATTACTGCAACATGTTAAGACCCTGAATGATTATCAAGTTAATTATTAAGTCAATCAGAACAAAATGACATCTAAACTGTTCTTATGGTTGTTACTTTTAAAAATTATTTATGGTGTATAAATCCTTCAAACATGATCTGTTGGTTTGAGCTTCTCTTCCTTGTAGTCTCTTCGGTATCATTGTAATGGGACAGATATTACTGATGTGTTTCAGGTGTTTTATTTTAAAATGGTCAGGCACATTAAAGAAACTGTACACCACACATCTGATCCAATGAAACTGTGGAGGACATTTTCATATCAGTCACTTAACCAGAAAAATGTAGACCGACTATACTTGTTGCTTACTTGGATTTGTTGTACTCAAACTCAATGTGGAGACAATCTTCAATCCCAACTTCCATTTTAATGGAGGAGTTGAGCTCAGGGTAAGTGCTCAGTGTGTGGACTACAATGTCCATCTCTTTACTGATGTCGTTCAGCCTTCTGATCACTGTGGCACGGAGGAAATATCTGCAGAGACAAACAACCAGCAATCAGATCTAAACAATGAAAAATATACTGCGAGTTAAACATGGACGACTTCAGGCATTCAAATGCTCAGTTTAAAAGTAACCAGGTCACAGGCGGGTTAAAGAATGACACCTACAGTCACTCATTGTGTCGCCTTCAAGGTGGAGTGAATGATCAAAGTTACCTTAGCTTGACATTCTGGCCCGTGTACGACTCGTAGGGTTTTTCAACATGAGTGAACTCAAAGTCGAAGGTCTGCGACTGAGTCATTTCACCTGGTCTTGCGAGATCCTTCACCAGGGACACAAACTCATGATGGTTTCCTCTGTCGTAATAAAGCTCTGGGGTGGAAAAAAAGGTTATCAGTGAAGCAAAATTTAAAAAAAAAAAAAAAAAAACAGCTTGACTCAGAATATTTACTTGTGATGAGAAAATGTAAAAAATAATGATTACATAGTTAACATTTTTGCTTCTTGTTTTGGGGGAAATAAATACATTTTGAGAGCATAATCAATCTTTTTAAACTTCAATTAAAAGCGTATTCTTGCAACACAAACGCGTTGTGGACACACAATTAAATGTATGTAGGGGACATCTGTACAATTACACCTCACAAAAGATATCAAAGGAACATTATCAGCCGCTTGTTTGTGAATGTTTTTTTTTTTTTTCTTCTTCCGTGTGCACTGTTTTTTTTAGCTCTGATTTTGGTCTCTCCCAACTCCTGAGAAAAATACCTGAAAAATACCCGAGCTAAACTTTGGCTCATTGAGAGAGCGGAGAAGCTTCCCCAACGATTTGAAATGACATCTTCATGGAGCACGTTATTTGTCACACCCTGACCAGCACCCAACTTCACTTTTCACTGCAGCTTATCAGAAAGCAGAAGTGTAGCTAAGTAAAAAAAAAAAAAAAAATTAAATAAATGTGTGATTTAAAGTGACAGGGACACCTCTTGGGTCACAAATGACTATTAACGCTAACATTAGAAATAGCTTCTTCTTTTTTTGACAGTTATATTTCGCAATTGGTGCTTGGGTGGAAATCAATTTTAACATACCAATGTGTTACCTAATAGCACTACCCACATTGTTGGTGCACGATCAGCAGCATCAATCAATAGTGCTCTATAACTTTAAGAAAAGATGTGGTGAGGGTATCTATCTAGCACAGAGTCCTGGCAAGAATCCCAAGAAAACAAATGCAAATACTGATAACGCCATGTGCCTCTCAAGCACTATGAAATCATCTCCTGGCTTAGTTTGCACTTAGCAAAACTACATTTTGAAATAGTCACTATTTCTTGCAACACTATTTAATGTTACAATCTGATATGTAATGTCATAATCTTAACCTATTGGTATCTGGATTGTATTTTACAAAAAAAAAAAAAAGGAGAAAGCAGGGTTTATGCAGAGAAGAAAATAGATCTGTTGTTGGACTTGGAGGCTGTCTCTATTGAAAATGATTAATTTGATGTTTAAAAGAAGTTGAGAAGAGAGTATTTTGTCGTGTGTAAAGGTATGTGTGCCAATAATGAAGGTTTAGTTCTCCTATTGTTTTGAGATAAAGATTTTCAGCATCACTCCTGCAACGAATTATTCTGGTGACATGTTGACACAGTTTAGTCTCTAATGTCAAAGTCTTCCTAATGGATGTCTTTGTTGTTGTTGTTGTTGTTGTTGTTGTTGTACAATGGAAATTTCAACACCAGACAGACACAGAAGACATGGCGAAGTGAGACCGTTCATTCACTTGTCAACCCACCTATTTGGCCCACAAATTCAATTTTGATGCCCTGGTGCTCCAGCCTCTTCCCGGGGTTCTTCACTGTCACATTCACTTTCCCACTGACTGTCTCTCCATCATAGAAAAGAAAGTATTTGTCTTTCTTTCCATCCTCTGTCTTGTGTTCAGCTTTCTTCCTCGTTTCAGCGTCATTCAGGACTACATCGATTTCTGCACTTTGTCCAAAACTGAAGAAACTCATTGTGACGTTGCGTGAGTGCCTCTTGTCGTAATGTTGTTTTTTTTTTTTTTTGCACTGATTTGACAGCAAAAAGCCAAAAAAAAAAAAAAAAAAAAAAAAAAGCAAAAGCCCTGCTAATGTTTTGTGAGTAGAAAACAAACACACAATAAGGCCTGCAGGGTGGTCGACCTCAGCTCCCTCTCTCTTAGCACTAAACACAATCGATCAAACGGCGGAAAAGGTCGTAGGTATTTTGCAGAAAGCTCGACATTAGCTACATGTCCACAATGATTTCAAATAACGAAGAAAAAACAGCGATGCGATGTCACAACGAAAACGCAAGATAACAAGTCCATCAGCGAAATGAGCCTTTTCTTGTTCCTCTTCTTGATCCTGATGTGTCCAACAACAAGTCTCCAGCCGGCCACAAAATGACTTTGCTGCGGATAATAGACACAAGCCTCGCTGTGTGAATAGAAACATCTATTACATGTTTGTTTTCAGTAAGAAACGACTGTGAATGTTGTCAAATGATCAGGATGTACGACACCTGCATCACAGGAACTACTGCCGGGTGAACCATTTCAAAATAAAAGCCTAGGCGTACCTTGGGCTGTAGCTCCAGTGATGATTAAAGTGAGGACTTTAATCATCATCACAAATCAATGGCTGTATAAAGAGTAGCCAATGTGTTTCTTTGGGCCTGTTTTGTTGCGTTTTCCATCTTGATTTGTAGCCATGTCATCTCAATGATGGGTACAATACAGTCTATGTTGGGAAATCACAAACTACATTGGATTGAACAAGCAAAATGTCAAAAGTAAGAGCATTTAAATAAGCTCCATTTCCTTTATGCATGGTTAGGTTGTTATAAGGTAAGGAGATGTGTTTTATATGCTCGTTCATAGACTTTACACATAAAACAATAAAAATCTAGGCTAGAGCGAAATATAAAAAAGGGAAAGAGTAAAACAAAGGATCAGCAGTTGAGACAATACAGATATTTACACATTTTGAGAGTCTTTAAAGCTTTGGAGTTTGAAGAATGCTGAATATATTTTTTTTTTTTGTATTGTTGCATTTCGTTTTGCATATAAACGATATAAAGTTAGGTTTTCTGGTGCAAAATGTACTTTAATAAATGTGAAATTCAGCAGGTATAATGATGTAAGACCTATTTAAGACCTATATATGGATATTGTGTTTGTTCTGAGCTGCAGATTCATAAATACTAAACAGCACATCATTGTATTAACAAGTATGGTTTGTAAGAATGTTGCAGCATACAGCTACACCTCACAAAGATTAAACTTCTTTCCAATGTGCAATTCAGACTGAAGAATAAAAGGAGTCACAATACAGAAATCCACATAAAAAAACCCCAAACATTTAGACCTTGTAAAATCATGGTGCACTGAATCCAACTTGCCAGCTCTTTTGTCACAAAGATTAAACTTCTTTCCAATGTGCAATTCAGACTGAAGAATAAAAGGAGTCACAATACAGAAATCCACATAAAAAAAACCCCAAACATTTAGACCTTGTAAAATCATGGTGCACTGAATCCAACTTGCCAGCTCTTTGTCTGTAGCAACCAGATTTATATATAAATATGCAGCACAACTGAGGAGGAATATGCTGACATCCTTCACAAGGTGTTGCAGACAGCCAAACAGCTTAGTGTCACGTTAAACAAACAGTATAAGACACTAAGGACAGTAAATCAGTCTGTCAGGACGTGAGTTGGGAACCGGAGCGTTGCAGGCTCAACCCTGGTACAGACCAAATGTGGAATTTTGGACTGGCAAGAGAAGGTCCCAGTTCCATTCCTGAGTATTACCTTTACGCCCTTGAGCAAGGCAGCAAACCAATTTCCTGTTTGTGCTTTGGGCCTCTATGTGTGTGTAGCATGTCTCTCATTGAGTGCATCGTTTTAATTTCCCTCAAGTGCATAAATCAAGACATTAAAATAAACGTCTGGTGGAGTCAAGGCAGATGATCCTACGGCGCTAAACGCAGTAGAAAAAAGCCTTCAGATTTCCTCGGCATGCCAAACTGATTGCACCATCTGCAAAAGATGTTGCCTGGCAGTTGAAACGAACACAACCATTAAGCTGAAAACTGTCGTGATAAATGCTAAGGTTAAGCTGCTCCTAATAATGGCTCTTCAGATTTCCTCGGCATGCCAAACTGATTGCACCATCTGCAAAAGATGTTGCCTGGCAGTTGAAACGAACACAACCATTAAGCTGAAAACTGTCGTGATAAATGCTAAGGTTAAGCTGCTCCTAATAATGGCTCATGTGTCATACCATGGCCTAGATGCACGTTTTTTTTCCAGGAAGGATCTTATGTACATCTAGATCTCTAAGGGATTCAGAGAAAAGGTATGCTTAAGTCTACTGTTAAATGTCTTCACTTGAGCACCTTTTAAAACCACAGTGGAAGCTCGTACAGCTACAAAGATTTGACTTTAACTTGAAGCACATATTTAAAGATGACAGTTAATAACCACACCTGGACAACGTGCAGTGTATGATAAACTGACAGGATTGCTGCACACTTAAAACTATATTTAAGACTGTTTTAAGACAGAGAAAAATGAGTAGGTTTTTTCACATAGCTTACTGTCCTGGGATCAACGCACCATCGTCCTCATTTGAAAAGTGTTTGCGACCTCGCCTCTTGTATTTCTGCCTTGTCTGTATTTTTTTGGCTCCAAATCTCCTTGTTCTTGCATTTTCCCATCTTCTTCTTCTCTTCTCTGAGAAAAAGTCTCTTCTGGTCCGTGATATTTCCTGAAGTTAAGGAACTTGAAGGTCAAAGGTCTGTGGCTTTGAATGACATTTCCAAATATACAGAAAGGCTGCACATCAATGATAGAAAGTCTGTATTAAATACTGCACATAAATAGGGCTTTTATTAAAAACACAATAAATACATTGACTGAGGGCATGTAGGTACACTTACTTTACTTTTTCTCCCACTCAGTAAAACACTTTGATGACAAAGCACCGTGGGATGCAACAACTGTGCTTTAAAATGCTTCAAAAGCCCATATTTAAGATAGTAAAGATACTTGTGAGTAATCATTGTAATGTCATTTTGAAAAATCATATCACAGATACAGTTTGACAGAGAAAGGCCTATTTACACTAAGGTATGGTGCATAATGTAAGAAAAAGAAAATCAAAAACTGTACTTAAGTATGTACATTTAATACTGAGTCAAAAAGTGGACAATATGTCCTATACTCAGAAAATCATTAGTAAAGCACAGAAGGTCACTTATACACATAAACAGCACTCTAAAAATCATACTTCACCACCTTTATAGTACATATGGACTCTGCAGCATAGTTGGATATAAGGTATTCAATTCACAGGTTACTCTGTACTCTTACATACTTTGATCATCTATAATAAGAAGAAAGGCTGATAAATTGTGCCTTCAGAATCTGAGCTCATCAGCCGTTTACAGTCTGCTGCTTTATTGCCTGTTTAACTACAGCTTATATACAAAAAACAGGTTTCAACTCTTCCCCATGTCAAACCAAATCTGAAAATGTCTGCCGTACGAACATAGATAATAATGCAAAATAGTTTTGTCAAACAATTTCAGTGTACTCAGTAAAAAGTTATAAAAGAGGATTTTGTTAAAAAAAACTGTGAAGGAATGTTGCTTCCAGCATTTTTGTAATGAAACCATGAGACCAAATATCAAACGCATCAGCTTTGAACTGGTTCTGTTCTAAAAAAAAAAAAAAAAAAAATACTTAAAAGTGGAAAAAACTGAGTGAAGATATTCAGTGAAATTTTGTAAATGGAATATGATCGTAACAGAGAAGTGTACATTTAAAAAAATGTTGTAACATTATAAAAACATGAAACAGTGCTCCCAAATGATATTAAAATTACTTTGGCAAGTTGGTTGATTAATTTTTGATGTGCATCAGAGAGTAATGTGCCTTGTTTTTCCACCTCAACTTTCCCATCTGGAGCGTCATTGTTGCAAGTTGACCTCCACACTTTCGCTTGTCTTTTCCACCTCGTCCTCTTTCTCAGCTGTCAAATGATGAATGAAGACTTGTGGCGAAAATGTCCCTGTGACACATTGCAAAAAGGAAATGAAAAAATGCAGAACACCTACTTTTAGAGTCCCCTCTTTTTTTTTTTTTTTACAGTGAGACAGTCAAATAAATGCTGTGCATGTTTTACAACGTTAGTTTACCTCGTCTGCATCACCGTAGTCAACTCCATCAGTCTGTGCTGGCCAATTGTAGCTGAAATCAGAGAAAAACATAATGACACACAAAACCCTTCATTTGGTGTGGAATTAAAGGCACAGTAACACACCGCCTCGGTACTCCCGCAGAGCTGTCGTTTCATACTCACTTATTCTCATTATGACCTTTTTTGTTGAAACATCCTCGTTTAAGGGAGTGACAAATAAAGGTAGCCAGACAGAGAAACAAAATCACTCCACCGAATCCCTTTAAGAAAATCCCGAGGATGTCCACGTCATCTGTTAGAGGACACAGAGATGATAACCCAACAGTGTTAGACAAGGTGGGAAATACATGCATGTAATATTGACTTTTATCATAGAGTGACATATAGAAAGTAGTTAATAACACAGATGTTCTATGTTAATAAATAAATATTATATATTTTTATTTAAACCAATATATATTCACTTGAAGGCCATACTGTAGGGATTTATGATAATAAAATTGTCCACATATACTGATTGTTTTTTTTCATTCAGTTTCAGCAGAAAGTTTGCATCGGAACTGCTTCAATCTTCTCTTTCTCATCTCCTGAATTCATTAACCTCTTGTACTCGCTGTCAACTCTAAGGTTGCTTAGTGGTTCAAAATGTCACTTTGCAGTGTAAAGGTCCTGGGTTCAAAGCTGGCGTTGCCCGCTGGGACTTTTCTGTGTGGACGTGCTGATAAAGCAAATTATTTGTCTGTGTGCAGCTTCAAAAGTAAGTTCTGAGGATGTATTTTTACCATTCGTTAGGCTGGGACTTTTTCTGTGTGGACATGCTCATTGAACAAATGATTTGTCTATTTGCTGCCTCAGACCTAATGTTTGACGATAGATTTGTCTCCAGGAAGTATACATCATATCAAAGTAGTTTAGTTTGTTCAAACAAGAGGTGGCTATAGCTTTGATCTCATATCAAAATGTTGGATGTGTCAACTTTACATGTATTCCAAAGTGAGAAGAAAGAGTGGCGTGTTCAACACTAGTCTTTCTTTGAAGATGACAGATGTGTTGACAAATGATTGACATTGCCTCTACTCAAAGAGCTACTGTCACAATAAAAATCATAAGGTGGCAGACAAGAGCGACTGTCCTGCAACGGCTGAAACGACTTACATTAACAAAAACGTGCAGGAAATTCTGAAATTATATCAATTCAAAAGCAAATGTCCAAAACAAATGCAACGACCAAACCACGCTGCAAACGAGGAAAACGAGGAATGAAACACATGCAAGTTTCAGGTTACATAATTTACATATTAAGCAATACTACAGGTCTGTTGGACAGTGGGCCCACCAGAGAATAAACCTTCATAAAAGCAAATGAGGTGGTGAACAAACACATCTGGATGCATGCAGGTCGCGTTGCAAACACATAAACAATGTTAATCAAAAAGAGATATTCAGAAAAACAACTGCAAATAGGCAAGCACTGCAAATTCATTCTTTGACAGAGGTGCTCCTGGCCTGTAGGGGGCGTTCAGTGGATCAGTTTACTATTAAAGAGAGTGTTTCAGTTGTTGCATTTATTTAGGACTTTTGCATTTGCTTTTGAATTAATGCTCTTTCTGAATTTGCTGCATGTTTTTTCCCTAATGTATGTTGTTTTGGTCATTGCCGTTTTTGGACACTGTAAAATCAAAATAGAGAGGCTGTATGGAGTTATGACTGTTGGTAACCTCTAATTTCATGTGCTGTACATTCATGGCTCAGCTGTTATGTTAAAAGTCAAGCACATCACCTGACCTTCAGACACACAGTGCACTACAGGAGAAAGAACATCACATATGTCGTCTTATTTCTGAGCCACTGGCCCTGATAGTTGATCTTTTTCTATTTCGGGAAAAAAATAAAATAATCAAAGTCTCAGAAATGCTGACTCAGATGTTTAGACACTCACAGACTTCCATCTTTTGAGGGGGGCACTGCGCATGTCCAGCATCATTCTTTGCCTGGCAGTAGTACTCCCCTGCGTCGTCCTTCCTCACGCTTCGAAATTTCTGATGACATTTTTTTTGGGGGGGGGAAAGAAAAAAGGCTTCAGACAATGACATGTCGCATTGTCAACAAAATGCTAGCAGATATTTTGCTGGCATATAATTTTTTCTGACATTTGACATTCTGACTTCAACAGACTTTAATGATATTTAAATTTTTGGGGGGTATGAACTTCAAATGTGCTTGGTAGAAAGGTTGAATATCTGGCATGAGTTGAAACCCTTTTTTAGTACTCTAAGATAAAACAGAAATACATCCTCTTGGCTTGTAATGCATAGTGATCCTCCTTTCATATGATGGCTTTATTTTTAGCATCTTTGCAGGATATCTTTACACGCATGGCTTAATCCAGCTATAAGTCATACACTGGCTGGCTAAGGTTTTATTCAGATTAAGCTGTTCACATTTACATCAGATAAGCCATCACGTTGTGTCATGATGCTAAATAGTCATAACCGTACACAGAACATCTGACTGGGGCAGATTCTAACACAGGGAGTCTTGCTTCTTTTCTTTCTTCCGTCTGTCTTTCTTACCAGGCCTCCAGTGTCAGGATTGATGGTGTATGAAGAGTTGACCAGCTTGGGGCTGTTTTTGGGGTCCTGAGGAAGCTCCTCTTTGTTGTGGAACCAGCGGTACTGAGGAGCGGGGAAGCCCTCGTTCTCCAGACATCTCAGCTCTGTTGATGTTCCAACTGTGACAGCCTCAGGAACACTGCAGCGTGGCACTACAGGTTTCACTGCATAAAAGACACAGACACACATCAATGCGCTGCCTGCAACTACTTACTGTTTTTTCTATTGTTTTTGATTTTGTCAAAAAAAAAAAAAGCCTTTTCTACAAAAGACAGGGTTATTCCTGCCTTAGAGGTTTATTCAGCACTGAAAGATGATCAAAGACCAGGTTGTGTGGAGGTGTGGACGTGTTTGTCTCTTTTGAACATTAATGTCATGAACAGTCAGATAATAATGCTTTATTCCTTGAATGTACTGCTCTGTACTTGAAATGCTGCTCTCTCTCTCTCTCTCTCTCTCTCTCTCTCTCTCTCTGCATGGGGCAAAATTTAAATATTGTGGTTAGTAGGGGGAGGCACTATGACCTTTAGAAAAATTAAAAGGGATACTCAACACACAAAACAGAACTCAATGTCGCTTTACTCTACTGTCAATGTAAAGGAACGCTGATGATAATCATGAAATTGGAATAGAAATGACATCCAGGCCTACATGGGATTAGGTAAGGAAGCTTGCCTTATAATTTGCTTTAGTTAGTCATGGTAAAGTGAATCCTCTTCACAGTTGGTAATATGGTCATCAGATGTAGAGAAATAACAGGAAATATATAGATTACTGTCAACGAGGACAGTAAAGAGGACCTATAATGCTTGTTATCCTCTCGAGGCTCATTTTGAGCAAGAAAAACATGTTTAAATGTTTCAAAAATATCAAACCTGTAATATTATTAACACACGTAAACACAACTCTAAGAGTCCTGAAGTGTACTGTAACTTTATTTTCCCCCTTTTAACATTCAAATATGTAAATGTAGATGTGCTGTAAGTCTGTCAGACAATCATGTAGTGGTCTCTGATTTGGTATCCCAGCAAAGCTCCCCCCACCCTTTACAGTACCTCTTACTGCGAGGCTAATAAGTATCTCATCAAAGTCCCTTTGATCATCGATGGCGGCCACCTCACAGCGGTACTCTGCAGTGTCGGACCGGGTGGTGTTGAAGATCAGGATGTTGGCCGGCTCTCTGAGCTGAGCTCTTTGCTCCAAGTCCCCTTTTGAAAGAGGGGAAAAAAAACACTTTACAATCGCTCATTCACATACACAGCGTGACTTCACAGTTCCAAAAAGAACTCAATGCCAAGTTCCTTCAAGGTACCATTCATTCAGCTCTGCTTTGTGTGCTGGCTTTGCTCTAATTGGTTGACAGGGTTCTTTAAAAAGAGAGAGTTTCCAAGTCGTTTACCTGCTATCTTGTTTTGAAAGTACACATAGCTGGGGACACCGTTCTTAATCTTCTTCCACTCGATCCTCGGGTTGTTTGTGGAGATGGACTCTATTAAGCAGGTCAGTTCAATGGCTGTGAGGAAAAAACAGAATGGATGAGAGCAGGAGGCAACCGTCCCAAATCAGAAAGGAAAAAAAAAAGGAAAGCTACTTTGGCTTAAACAGGTTGAAGTGATTTTATTTTCCCAGGAACTTACGCTCAAACTCATTTGCCCAAACAATCCTGTCTGTGGTTCGGAGGATTACCCCGAGTGATGATGGAAAGTGACCTGTGGGGGGGAAAAAACAGGAAGACGCTAAATGCTGAGTAACCCTGATGGCACACACAAGCTTTTTTTTTTCATTAGCAGACATTATCAGCTGGGCATGTTGCCTAATAAACAGTGGATTAGAGTGATTAAATATAGAGAGAGTGAGAGCCTCGGGATCTGATTCAGACTTATTAATTGCTTCCCATCTCTGAGTAGAGAAGATTAACACCTGGAGCCAAAAATGTGTACATTTAAACATGCATTTTTCATAAACGTGTGTCTTGATAAGAAATATTAAGACTTCCGTTTTTGATTTGAGTCCTTTATGGCGGTTAATTGGATATTAATTTGGCTGATGATGACACAAGGAAAGAGAGGTTATCAGTGTTAAGTTGCTGCAATAAAAATATTAATAGAGGAGTGTAGTAAATATTAGGACAGTGAGACATTATTATAGCTTTGGCTTTACTCCATCGCACTTCATTTTAAGTGAAACCCTGCGTGAGGTGAAAGTGCTGACTATCAGCTTTTGGTGCGAGAGTGTTTTTACACCCTGGAGAGCAAGTGTAGGAAGACTTTGATAGATAGTTCCTCCGGTTTTAGGACAATGCAGCAGCAGGAACGTAATCACACGCATACAAAACAAGGTAACACAGCGCTTTTTAAGGCCAAAGTCAATCAGCTGAACAGAGTCCAACTGAGATTTGTTTTTTAATTACTGAAACCAAAAGCGAAAGGCAAAAAGCTCCTGAAACAAGTCAAATCTCAAGATGGGAAAGCAGCAAAGTCAAACAGGATTTCCAAATTATTTATGATGGGTTCATTCGAGCGTGTCAGTGCAGAAGCTAAGACAGAGACAATGCTTTCAGACACAAACACAAATGTGACCTTAGAACAAGAGCGTCCGTATCACTAGTTAACAAGAGCTCACAAGTGTCTCGGTGAGGATTTGCCTCAGAGGGACTGCTGGAGTTTGTCAATGTTGGAGTTGGTGTCACTTATAAGAGCCTCATTTCTGTCTCAAATATCATTTAACAAGCCCTCAAACATAACAAGAAATCTTTTTTTTTTTTTTCAAAGGGCTTCTTCTCTACATTATGACACTAATTTGCACTGAGGTTAACTAAATGAATAAATGATCAGAATCTCTCAACAAAACAAATCAGGAGCACAGAAATAACTTAGCAGTGGGAACGTGCTTAAATGCGAAGCATATTTAATCATCGTCTTGGTTTCCCCACAGGCACAAACAACACATGAAATATACTTATTTGAGGTTGCATGCTTGAGTGCACTCCTTTAAGCAATAAGTGCTATTTCATAAATGTCAGATTTTAATGGCAACAGGCATAATTCACAAGCTCTGTCCGATTTGGGCCAGCAGAATGCCAGTTTAAGCAGAAAACAAGTGAGCACAGAGCGAGGGGTATACAACAACAAACGAAGGAACGTGAAAATCCCAATTTGAATCTTGCACGTTATTCCACTATGTCTGATTTAAAATGCTGAGGACAAATAAGCTTCTTTCCACCTTACAGTTGTAGCCTATGCTCAGCCTTTTGTGTGGCCCACCTCCAAATTCAATAATTGCAGGGTACACGTGCAACTAGCAGCCCCCATGCTGAGTAATGAAGATGTTTATGCTCCCATTGGGGGCACTTGGAAGGATTGAAATTAGATAATAACAATTATCTGAGTAGGCCTTAAATACTGCAGGACCTCCCCTCCTGTTTGCTCTAGGCGCTGTGACTAACTCTGAGGTATATTTATTTACAGAGGCCTCTCAACACACGAGTGACGTGTAGAAGGAAGCATACAGATGATGGCGGGCCTGAAAGTGATGAAAACGTGGCTCCTGCCCAAGCATCCGGTCATACAAGCACAGCTGCGGACAGTGATGAGATCTGACTCCCAGGTCTCAGCTTCCGTCCCTGTTGCTGACTTTCCCACCCTGTACATCAGGATCTATTTTTAGCCCAGCTGTGACTGGACATCCTGGGAGACATGAGGAGAGCTCGTCCAACAGACGCTCCCTCTGCATATGCACGTCCAGCGCTGAGTGTCCAGGCTTCAAAACTTTCTCTTTGAACCGCAAAGACGAGTGCAGAGTTGTGGGCTGGCTTTTTTGTTTTCAAACACTGCAAGTTCATATGATGGAAAGGAGACTCACCAAATACTTCCAATTACTAGAAATTCATCAACTCATGACATTTAACAAAATACACAAGTCTCCAATTACACAAAGAAGAAACAACGAACTGGCACTCAAAAACTGTAAAACTAACAAGCTGAGGAATTTCAACATAACATTGGGAAACTTGTTTTTCTAACAGCTAATTAAATTAACTTTTTCTTAAGTCCCTATAGCATACTGACAAAAGATCATTTGGGTGACCTTTGTTGCAAGTCACCCTCCCCTCATCTATCACACATAAAAATAATAATAATAGAAAAGTTTCCATAAAAATGTGTTCTCTGTTACACCTTTGACATGCTTCTGAGAATAAAAAAGTAGGCCGTGGGAAAGAATAACCCGGGTCAATTAACAAGACAATGTCTATGTCATAACTAATACCAGCTTAGGACAATAGAATTCCCCAAACGATGGCTATACCCCCCTCCCATGTGACACACATGTAGGCTGAGGAGATGACAATATTTTTGAATGATGAAAATAATCTCAGGGCTTGCTGGAAAGCGAACACAGGCTGGTTTTTAATCCCTGTGTTATTGTAATGCAAAGACAAAGTAGGACTATAGTCTGTTCCGAGAGAAGCGCACTCCTCAATAGCCACATTCTGAAAATCCTCTTATGCTCTAAATATGAAAACAAGTACCCATACCCATCCTTGTAACAAACAGAACTGTTATACCAGTGAATCTATAAAAAGCCCTTCTCCCAGACATTCCAATGCAGCCGCTGCAAATATGCTGAAGGCAGAGTTAGCTGGAAGCGACATGGAGAGACTGGAGGACCACTGGGACTGACAGCATAATGGAGTGACTGTGTAATAACAACTAATCACTCCGCTAGATTAGTATGAGACAGTCATGTTGTCAGAAGGACTTGAGGGAAATTTAAGAAAGGGACACGTGAACTGTGTTTTCGCCCCGACACTGCAGGAGAGAAACACTGACATATGATGAAGCTTGAACGGGTTTAACCTCTGCAGTCCCACTGTCCCAATATTGCAGCACGCAGCACGAACACGAGATGTGTTTTAAAGAATACATCAGGACACATTATTAATTAGTTAGTCGAAGCACGTTTTTAGATCATTGGTCAGTATTTGATGTCATTTTTAAATAAAAAATACAAAAGATGAGCTCGTTACAGCATCCAAAATGTAGACATTTGCTTTCGTCATTGTCTTAATTACTGTAATGTAATGTCATTTCCTTACTTTCAGGGAAATTTAAACTGGTATTATAACTATTAATCCAAGGAAAACAATTCTTAGTTCTGAGTATAAACACCACATAACTCAAAAACTGATGAAGCAGAAAAGTTCTTACATACAGTTTAGGATTTTTCCAACATTAAAACATCTTAAAGGGAAATCGTAGGATGATGAAAAGGTGATAACATCATCTTACTCCCAATTCAGAACCGGAAGAATAAGGGCAAAACATTAATTCTCTCTTAATTTAGGCAAAATAATTCAAATGAATGCACCAAGTTATACAGAGCATGACTTTAAAGGCTGATTCATATTCATGTTTTGAATCTTAGTGCGCAGGGTAGAATTTATGACGATTGTAACAACACTTTTTTGTCTAAAAACTTCAATTGAGTTCACTTCTCTTCCTGCTTTGAACATTAAAAAAAATGAAGCTTTGCCTGTCAGCCATTTGATTCACACTTGCAGGGAGGACATGGTTGAAAAGTCCATCACTCACTGATGCAAAAAGCCATTTGGAAATCACCCACTTCACTGCCAGTTTTCACCCAGCAGCAGGGTGACCTCGCACAGAGCGCACACCAGGGGTGGATGCAACAAACAACAGATCGCCCCGGCATCAGCAGCATTGATTTTGCACAGAAGCTCCACCTGTGGTTGGTCAGTGGATGAAGATGAGGCATGTCCTCTCCACCAATGTCTGACTATTAATTTTCAACTCTTGCCCTCGACCTGCCACGGTAGTAAACACTCCTCCACCACCACCACCATCCATCAGCAATGTGATCACTAAAGGTCAACACACACTCAAATCCAACACTTGGATAGGACTCAAGCTGGATCACAACTTGCTACACATTTAAATGCACGGGTATGTTTTACTCTGCAGGCACAATACAAACAGCACACGCATGTTATTTGAGATGCTCGAGCTGGCCTGTGATTTCTGGTTCCTTCATCTCAAGGCTGACACGAATGGTCCCCCCCCCCCCTTTAATGTCGCCCAAAGTAACATCTATTGCTTTGTTTTCATTCTGGAAATTCCTTCATTATTATTCACAAGAAAAAAAACAACAAAAAAAAACAACACACGAGCTAATGCCGAGGCTTGCTTTAATGTTTCCTCAAGAACAAACAGACACTTAACGCTGCCGTCGCTTTTCTACGGCTGTTAGCAAAACGGTGACATATATTCAAGTGTTAACACGTAAAAGATGCCCTGACAACTACGTCATTTTCCAGGTTTGCATCGCACAACAGCAGCGTGAGGTTAACGTAAACGAAAGGCATACACAAACGACAATAAGACACTCCGTTTAAAACGCGTCAATTTATAACGCCTTCTTCATTTAATCTCAATCTGTTTTTTGTCGAGCTAACATCTGGTGTAACGTTAGCATTGACAGATCCGTTACAGCTGCATATTTAACTACGGTCGCCGTGCTTCGTTAAGCGCTATAACGCACTAATAACAACGGCAATTGGGAGGGGGGGGGAGAAGAAGAAAATAACTTACCCAGGCTGGTGTAAATAATAAGACAAGCTATGAGTCGCACAATCGCCATCTTGCAGCTGTAATTTATGGGTTACAGTAGCTCACACTCAGCACCTCTGAGAGGTATGAGGATGGGGGGCAGAGCAGACTGGTGGATGTTGCCATCGACGAGTTTCCATAGCTACAAGGGGATGACCGGGTTGCTGCCCTCAACGTGGTCTGACAGGCGAAAGGCGGTGCCAAACAGCCTACTCCTCCTCCAAACATAAGTGATTAAGGAAAATATTCAAGTAGGTTTATGAACCGTGAGTTAAAGTACTACCTTTAATATATGCATTACTACTTGTAATACCTGTAGAGAGGGTTACAAGAGCCACCTTTTGAATGAGAGCATTTTATTGCAAGATTGATGTGTTATAGCCTATAAGCCTCTACATTCCAGCTATTGTATTTTTATATAATAATAATAATAATAATAATACAGTTTATTTATAAAGCACTTATCAAAAACAACGTTGCAAAGTGCTTTACAGAAAAAGAAAAAATCCCAACAAATACACAACAATAAAATCCTGTTAAAAGCATGAGAAATAAAACAACAGTGCAGCAATCATTCAATTAACAGAGAAAAGAGAAACAACCGAGACAAAGATTGGCTAAAGTTAACAGTAAAACAAGTAAAACATCCTGGATCAAACAAGGATGGTAAGAAGGCCTTACGATAAAAATGTGTTTTTAAAAGTGATTTAAAAGAAGATACTGATGTAGCTAGTCTGAGATCCTCAGGCAGGTCGTTCCACAGCCGAGGAGCCCGAGCTACAAATGCTCGATCTCCTTTAGTTTTCAAGGTTGAGGTGTGAACAGTAAGGAGGTTCCTGCCTGAGGATCTCAGGTTACGCAGGTTACTTCCAGGTTGGCATACCCTATGGAATTTAAAACAACTTGTGTACATTTTTGGTTTTAGAATAATGAACAATCAAAAAAGCTTGTCCTTTAGCACAAGATAGGGATCAAATGATCATAAGAAACTGATGAATTGTGCCAGATCATATGTGGGATAATAAGATAGAAAGCACACAAACGTATTCAGATGAACTTTCCTTTGTTACATAATTCAAATTCTACTTAGAAATGTGTTATCTTTATCATATACTGCTTAGTCAGTGATGCCAGATTATTGATGCATAATTCTGTTTGAATAAAGCTTTGGCTCTCAATGTTGTCCTGCACAAACTTCTCCTATCCTGATCTCTTTTTTTCCCCTCTTTAGTTTCATTCTTTCTTTTTGTAGTCCTGTGCGGCTGACTGAATGAACAGCTCCTCTGAGGCTTCCCTTGTCACTCGCTTTACTTCATCAAAGCAAGCTAAGTCCTATTCATCTTGGCTTGAATGGTTGTGCTATCTTGATGTCATGTCTAGAAAATCTGAAAAGGATACCCAAATATCTGCACTAAGCAGGCTAAACTTCTGTTAATGTTGTGTACAACCTTATTTTGCAGTTAAAACTTTGCTAAATGGACATGCAATACTGATCTATTAAATGACTTTATTAATATTATGACATGATTAATGAACTTGGCATCATTATCATTGTATTGCTCAGGTTTGTTATTGGACTCAAGACAGATTGAGTAATGCGAACAGCCTTGACCTCCGGCTCCCATTTTTATTTACGGGGGCAGATACTTGCCCACCCACTTAACCCGTTCTCCCCGATAGATATACACTCACCAACCGCTTCAGCCATCGTATCTAATAGAAAACAAGGCACCATCAGAGGGGTATTAATATATCTATGCCACATCTCTATTGTAGAGGTTGTGTGATGTTAATCAGGACTGGATTATATATGGTGTTGTTTCCACACACAAAAAAAATCCCTCCAAAATCAAATACACAAGAATTGCTTAATATGAGAAACACCTTTTAATAAAAATAATGCACTTTGGTACAAAGGAACAACCCAGTATGACCTTAGTAATAGACAGACAATAGAATAATAGTCTTACTATTTAAACACTGTTTAACCATCACAGTATTTAATCCTTAAATCCTGTTTTCACCTGTCTATGACCTTTCAAATGACAGTGTACTCATCTACTGTACACATGCCGGCCACAGTGTTCTTCATGACATCTTACTCAAACATAATCAAATAAATTAAATGAATCCAAGTGGTGTTAATACCCCCCTCCTGGTTTTATATAATAATCATATAATTTTACTTTAATTTTACTCAGTAATATTTATTGACTAATGTCCTAAGTTCATTTTCTTACTTATTGTGATTTACTATAATAATAATAATGCTAAAATACTGTTTGTACTCTACCTTCTGTGAAGTGGACCTTCACATAACTTGTGTCCTATCAAAAGTCCAAATTTAGAAACTAATCTGAAAATATATGAATTTAATTTGCATGTAAATTGCCTTAACTTGCTGTCAGTATCAATGAATGGAGTGGGTTATGGAGTTATGGCATGGAGTAAAGTAGAAGTATAAACTGACATGATATTGAAATCGTGAAGTGAAAAATGAAAGTAGGCTACATCGAATTACAAGACACATGTAAAACAGATGCTCTTGTCTGGGAAAGTGTAGACCTATGCCATCTAGTGGTAATGTGTGTTCGTGGGCATTTGAAGGAACATACCATTTATATCGCCCAAAATCTAAACTCATAACTCACCAACACGTTGCATCCCAGCCAATCACACGTGTTTTTCCAATATTTAATGTGTATTGTGTGACATTTGCTTTCCTCTAGATTTCTTTACACTGTAGAAAACAATCTATAGGATCCTTGAATGAAGTTACCATTATCCAATGTCAAAGTTCTGTTTTGGTTTTGTAGTTACGCATGAATTAATCTGCACTTAATGACCTTTATTACACAGTAATAATCAAGCAACACATCAACTGCATCCAAAAAAAATCCTTGAATTAATAATTAATTAATACTTTCTGACACTAGAACCACAGAAACACTTTTAACATTTTAGAGGTATTCAATAGGCTAAGAAGGCTAAATAAATGTTATTGAGAGCAAATGTTGGTGCTGTTTGGTTAATGCCTACAGGGTTCTATACATGTAATAATTTGATTATATGCATGTTGACTTTTCCAACTTAAACAAAAAGACAACTTGGAAAGTAATTTGACACCATCTTAGACGTAAATTGCTTTAGGACTCAGCCCACATTGAAATCTTGGCATCACAAAATGGGAACACGTTGTAACTTTGGGTTATCTCGTATTCTGATGATGTAAGAGCCCTTAAAATGTTCACGTTTTCCATCCTGAAGGCAAAAAAATGTCTAATGTGACTGTGAACTTGTGCTCAAAACACATTTACAATTTAACTTTATGCTATCTATGCCTGAATATTTTAAACCCTTAACATTTTTGTTTACATTTGACAGATTATTTAATAATAAAACCTATAGAGCTACTGTAGGTGCATGGTTAAAATGCCAATATTCTATCTATCTATCTATCTTTTACCTATCTATCTATCTATCTTTTACCTATCTATCTATCTATCTATCTATCTTTTACTATCTATCTATCTATCTATCTTTTACCTATCTATCTATCTATCTATCTATCTATCTATCTATCTTTTACCTATATATCCTATTACCTATTACCTGTAAGAACAAATGGAGGGCAAAATGGCACGTGCTCTCTACTCACTACAAGGGCATCAGGGCGGAAGATGGACCTCAAACAGACAGGAAATGCCTGAACATCATAGTGTCAGTCATTGATCTCTTAAGTCAACGCACAATATGTCCTCTCACTCTTACAGTAATTAATCAAATCATTTAACACATGCAAAATTGTTCCTAGGCTTCATGACATCACTGATTGTGCAAAATGAAAAAAATATGAAAAGGTTTAAGAAGCATATTGAATAGCTGAAATTGTACCAATAATACAGCACAATCCTCTGTAGGTCTGCTGATAACAAATGGGCCTTTTATGATTACATTACATATGATTTATTTTCAAAATCAATCACGTTTTAATTCTTAAATATATCAATAAATGCTTTTTACATCTGCACATAACCAGCAGGGGGCAGTGTAAAACCAGACATTACTGCAGCTATCACATCTAAATAACAGCACCGTCTCTGTTTTGACAGTAATAATATTCATAATATATATTACAGGTTTTTTTTTTAAACTCTTTGTATATTTTTATTTCTGATTGGGACTGTACAGACTTTTCCACTACTCGTTAAAAAACACAACTTATATGAAAGACTATATGTTACAGTGAACTAAACTCCCAGATTGATGTTTGTTATTTTAATACAAAACTCTAATCCACACAATAAAATATAAGACAGACCAAAAGCTTGATATAAGACAACTTGTTTGCTTCTTTGCATACATCCTGTTTGCCCTCCTTTGTTACACTGTAGCTATTGTTGTACATTGTATGTTGCTAGGTGATAGTTCCTCTCTTGTAAGGCCTGGCTGCCCTTTGTTGCATCTCATAGAAAGTGGTACATTTGAATTGTTGCACAGATCGTCGACACAAGGAAGAACTATATTCTTTTTTTTAATAGGTTTTCTTTAAAAAAGCCTGGAGCCTGTTTGTACTGTAATTTCAATGCAAGAACATTTGCCTCACAATGTAATCATAGTGACGGGGTCACGGGGAGGATTTTAGCCTGTTCATACATCAGTCAATTGAGGTGAGTCTCATTCTGAGCCAAACTAGTGACGCCTTCACTTCAGCAAAGTGAGTCACGATACAAGTGTTGCTCATAGAAAACTTAATTTCCTGTCGTATGAACGAGATTGTACGTCTTTGCCTGAAAGCATCATTTGCAATGTATATCTCCAATAATATGAGGAACTCACTCCGCTGTTAGTTTCAGATTTAATATCCACACTCGTCTATCCACTCTCAACCCCTCTGAGCTTCTGTTCCTGTAAGCTTGACGGACAGGTCTAACACCAGCTCAGCTGTTTAAGGTGTGCACCGTGCTGGAATAAGCACAGGATATGAAAGCATATCAGCAGGCAATAATTATGCAAAATGTGCGCCGAAATGAAACAGCAAATTTCTTTTGCACGAAAAGAAGATTATAACACTCAGGTGCTGTGGGTCGAATAAATGAACGAAGTTCTTTTTATAATCTTTCCAATAAGCGTTGACATCTGCAGTATATTGCTGTTGT